CGTGTAACGTCCAGTGGACGCGTCGTGCGAGAGGTTCCAAGTCGTGTTCTGAGCAATCCCAGTGAGGTCGTGCGACAAGATCGCAGGGGTGTCGACTTGGCCTCGCAAAATTGAGGTCGCTTCATAGTCCGACGTGATGTAGGCCCGCAAGACGGGAGTGAACTTTGCCGTGACGTTACTGCCATCTCTACATTTGATATTGTGAACGCTCTGAAAGAGAAAGTATTACAGGCAAGATGACATACTCTACATCGCTGAAGAAGAGTACGGGTGTGGGCGTAAAATCTCCTTTGTTTACGAAACCTGGAGATGGACAATACGTTCAGGTGAAAGAAGAGGAGATGATGATGGTCACAAACCGACTGCCATTTCTTGAGTAGTCCCAGTGTGGTTCTGGGCCTGCAGGATGCCAGAGGCTGCCGCCTGAGGGGTCTGCACGAGGTATTCGTCGGTGGTCGAGATGAAAATCAACGGAAACCAGACTTAACAGAGAAATGATAGATATCGTTGGCTTCTGTCAGAATTGTTTTCTCGCCGTTCTGCATCATGGCTTGCGTTGGTGCTATCAATTTCGAAGTAGATGAGAGTCGCTCACATTGATATTGATGGAGGTCCAGGCGTCGACGACCTTCCCATTCTCGACCTGGGCTCTGGAGAAAGCAAACCTATACGATATATAAGCGACTTCCAAGACTATTGATCTTGTCGGTCATCTTACTGGGTCGTGTAGGTCGTGGTAGCCTTATAGGGACCTGGAAAGACGGCTCATATATAAGTCGGCGACTTGGCAGCAAGATAATAGGAACACCCACCTGACTTCGGGAAGTTGAAGACTCTGAAAAAATTGCAAGGTTTTAAATCGTCCAAGACACGAGTCGGCACACTTACTTCCAAACTACTGGGAAGACGTCCTCGTAGAGGCGATCCACATCGGGACTCAAAGTGAGCATGAGGGTGACCTGCTTGCCGAGGTTATTACTGTAAAACGCTGGGTGAAAAATTTGAGCAGAGCGAGATCGCGAACACTCACGACTGGAAGTGCAAATTCTTGACGAACATTGTTTTGGATTGTGAAATACAAAGTGTACTGGTAGTTGAGATTGAGCGTGGATTAAAGAGCTTGAATTCTGCAGTTAGAGTCTCAGCAAAAAGGCTTTTATATGTTTCGGACTTGTTCTGCGTGAACCGATTTACCTGGGCGTTCGAGTTGCGTTCTGAAAAGTTCGTGGCTGCCGTTGACTGTGCTTCATACCCGAAGGCCTGAATCACGGTCACGGTCGCAAGTAGGTAGTATACAAAAAAACGAGCCTATGGTGCATGGTGCGTTTCACGACTGCAACATATAGTACTACTTACTCCCAACCTCGCCGGGTTGAGTCTGGTGTTGTTGTTGGAAATTCCCTAGTGGCAGACATGTTTAATGCAACCGATCGAGGGCGTTATCATTGTGATCAGAATCAGATTTAGATGTGCATTTGCTGAGTTTCAATGATGCTTATCTCAATCTCGGCCGGGTTGTCTGCGTAGACCGGCCGTATCTTGCAAATTCACGTTGTAACTTTCGGGGCTAGAGCGTTCCAGAGCACCCTGGATTACCTTTCGAATGTAATTTCACTGGCGGCAAAATGTCAGTTTCCCCGCTGTGCGATCGGTAATGGACCCACCCCACCAGTAGGTAATCAGTGCATCGTCAAAGTATTTGAATATAATCGCAAGAATCTCGTCGGGAAGGCCAGAAGTGAGAACTAGACCATCCCTGCAAGAGCGAAGGACACGCATGGACGGAGCAAGTGCAGAAAGGCCTCCGCCGATGTGAGTGCGAAGCTGCTGTTGCACTTTCCGACGTACGGAATAATGCGTGTCACTGCGTACAACCTAATGAGAGAATCATCTGAATTGAGCCGGTGTGTGTGAGGACGAGAAGTCCCCCCTCTCCTTGAAATCCGGGTGGATATGCGCCATCATATAATATTCCTTTAAATAAAAACAAACGAAGCCAAATCCCAACGCTCAATGTTCCTGGTCACCACCTGCACTCGTCACAAGCGCTCGTCTCCTAGCATCAGCCTGTCCACGCCCGCGCCCACTCGCATACCCAAGACTCGTCGCACGCACCCCCATCTCTCCACGCATCGGACTGTGCCCGAACATTGCGCTCGACGAGGTTGTGCTGATTGCAGATACAGTTGAAGAAGGCTCCTTTTCGCGTTTTCCAGGCAGTCCGCTTATAGCCCAGCTCACTTCCACTAGACGCTTGATGCTCCAGAGCCAGATAAGTCCAAAGATCGGGGTACATGTTAGGACGTTAAGGACTGGGAAGAGGTCGGGATAGCGTGCAGGAGGCGTCACTGCAAGCTCGATCAGGTGAAGGATTATTATTACTGTATGTACCACCTGTGATTAAATGTCATCAACTGTGACAGAACCGTGAAAAATAAGCACTTCGTACGGAAGATAAGAGTCCCGCGAAATGCCCATAGCGTAGTTTGAATGGATTATACCCAATCAACCGGTTCCAGAGAATAAGCATTGCAAGGTACTGAAGTCCCAGTCCATCTTTTTTGAGCAAGGGCCACATGCTACAAGTGAACAGCGTCCACATCAGCGGCGCGAACACGCAAAATCGCATACTGCTTACCTAAAGACACCAACGTTGTTGCCTAAAGCTCCCCACAAGAATACATCGTCAGTAGGTGCGGCGCCCGACAGCAGGAGTGTGAGAGGTAGAAGGGGAATCAGAATAGTCTTCTCGTGCACCTGGAAGGAGAAAAGGAAGAACGACATGGAACAGGTTAGGAGCGCATAGGGTAATAGCGGCAAAATTGGCGTTGGTGATGATGGTGACGCGGGTGCCATCGAAGGAGACACGTCCACTGAGTGGTTTTGAGCGTCCTTCTGCAACCGAGTCTTGTAACCACCGAAAATGAGCGCAGCCACAGCAGGTAAGAATCCGAGAGCGGTAAGGCCAGTAGATGCTTTGATCAGAATACCTTCTCTGCTAGCAAATATATGCTTCCACTTCACCAACACGTTGGTAAAGCACCAAAAGTTGGCAACCTTGTCTTCGAAGAGACCACGTCCGAATGGGAAGATGCGAATGATAGGCGCAGCAATAGTGGAGAGAGGAGAGAAGGGAGGAAGGAAGGGTGCGAACATGATGATGAAGGCTAATGTTGTCGTCAGCGCTAGACGCAGAAACAGGCGAGTACTAGAGAACATTTAGCGCATTGAAAGCAGTCCTGCAGCCGCGACAGACTTACCCATGGACGGGGCCTAGATAAATGCATTTTCCAATCAGGTAAGAGCCGACCGCAGGTGCGTAGTAAAGAGCCATCTGTTTGAAACCCAAACTCAAGACGAAGAAGATAGCTCCAAAAAGATCATGTCCTGCTGCGAAGGCATTAATCGCAAGTAGCGTCAAACCTGAGAGAAAATGCTAGTGAGAATCAGAAATACTATCAATGAAGAGGAACTTACCTAACATGACGGAGTTATATTGGAAATGACCAAAGTCGATCAACAGAAGTGCTGGATGGAACAGTAATGTGAGCAGCGCAGCGTGCTGCTCGTGATATGAGGATACCACCATAAACATCTGAAGCTGTCATGACAATAGATTGACGAACGTACTCGTTTCCTAGATGATCGCGTGCCCTGCCATGCGCATACAAAGGTGTACAATGCCGGAATATAAAGTAGGAGATCAAAGATGACCACAGTGGCTCGCATGAATAGCTTGCTTCCTCCGGTCTCTAAGCCGCGAGATGCCTGTAGCGCGAACCACGAAGGTTCGATTAAAGACCCACTGAGGAACAAGATAAATAGAGAGAGTATAACGAATTCTACTTGACAGACTTACATTCTTCCACATAGCCATGAAACATATGCAGTTAGAGGAGGATAGTCAAGACCCCAGTACTGCAAGTCATAAGTGTACCACTCCCTAACAGGGAGGTGTACAGTAAGCTCCATCCAATGTCGCTGGGCTTCATAATCACCGAAGATAGGTGGCCTATTGTGGCCTATGGGGCGACTTGAGATTAAAGTATGCGCACAATAATTATGCGCACCAGAATATGTTCCGAATCCGATGCACCATTTTACCAAGGTAGATGCGGCGATAGCTGAAGGAACGACCCAGTTTTTCATATTATTCCGATGCATCCACCTCACAAACCGCCTTCCAGCTCCAATATTTCCCTGATCATCCTCAAGTATCCTCGCATCAGCCGTGGATGATGGACCGACGGTGGTTCTTTCGTGTTCCATAAGAGCGGTGAAGCTAAGTCGATTGCTCATCCTGTTATTTGGGAAGACAGAGCCGACTGAAGACGCGGAAACGGGAGAGACACCTCTGTTGAGCCATTCATCTCCCGACGAGGTGTCAACCCTAAGCCAATGAAGACTTTGTGACGTTTGCAGGAGATGTCGGCGAGGAATGGGAGCAATAATTTCCGAGTGGTCAGTGTCGGAGCTGGGGGACAAACATAAGCACCATTCAAGTTTGTAAGGATGATATGTACCCAACGCTCTTCATGCTTGCATTAGAACCACGATTTCGGAGGGTGGACTTAGGTCGTATGTGCTTGGACGATGCACTTTTGAAGTGAGAAAGTGAATTCAACGAAGCCGTACGATCCCGCGTGTGACGTTGGCGGCGTTCGACTGGCAGTTCACTGGGCATAACATCAGATGCTTCGTCCATGCTGGCTCAGCAGGGCTTGCTGAGCACGTTGCAGCCAACGGTGCTCTCGCCACGTATAAGTACTGTAAAGCGTGTACGGGCAAGTAGCCGGCGGCTCCGAACTCGGCGCTCTATGCCGGTTTAGCAACCACGCGAATCAACGATACGTAACTCCAACAGTTTCTCTCCCTCGATCTGTACACATTCAAAACAACCTCATTCGCAATGCTTGAAAGACTGCGCCAGCACATAATTTACTTTCAAGTTGCACCCATGACCGCAGTCCGCAGGTGACAACTCGCAATCTGTAGCCCAGCGGCAAATATCGATGCATCGATTCCATTGCCTCGAGAAGGGCACCGCGATGGTAATCGATCCGACAGTCGGCGAAGGAGTAAATTGCACTCTCACAGCTTTTAGGAAGTGCAGCAGGAATCCTGAATCCTGTCTTCTTAAGATCCTCTGGGATGCGAAGATTAGGATGTACGACCACGGTGCATGCGCTGTAATGTCAAAACCGTCAAGGTAAATGCCTATCCATCTATATCTCTATATCATCTATGGTTTAAATGCAAGTGTAACTGACGATATTAATCTAAGGAGCGTTACAGCCAATACCAGGCCATGTGCACAAATGCCGCCGGTGGACTCAAAAGTATCCTTCCAGTTCCCGGTATCCATTCAGGTTGGAGGCATATCCCAACCTGTTCTGACTTGGATACATATTGCCTCGCATCCTCGGGTCTTCCCATTGTGCGTGATTATGCGTATAATGTCTGTGGTTCGAATTATGTTGAGTGCAAGTTACAGCCAGGAAGGCGCACGCTACCTTGGGTCCAGAGGAATATATGGTGCCATTGGTCCGTATATACCAGAATGTCCGGGTTCGCCCCATGTCGGAATATAGGACGCCATTTCTCTGACCTGGTAAGGATCAGGCCCCTCACTCCCAAATATATTCATGTAAGGATCGCCTCTTTTCACGTAGACCTTGGCCTTGGGCGCCCGTGGCTTGAGATACCGTCTATCCAGGACGTTCCAATCTTCCACTCCTTCAGTGCAATCAACGAGCCATATTTCCATTCCTTCAAACCCTACCATGGCGTCGAATGCAGGCCCGGCACCATCCACGCCACAATTCAGCGACAATTTTTTCTCCCCGCCTATTTTTTCGTGGACTCTTCCTGTCTCTCGCAGTTGTTTGCCAAGAAGCGCACGTTCTCCTTTGAATGATTCATCTAGGTAGAACAAGGACATGCGCGGAAATGAAGGGTTTGGCAAGACTCGAATGTTGTTCGCCTTCAGGTGGTCCATAATACGATCGCGCAGCTGCATGAGCTCGCTGGACTTTTGAGTGACGATGGACAATGAGCCGAGGAAGTCGTCTCCGACTTGCATGGACTCGAAATGCACGGGAGTCGTTTTGGCACCCATGGGCACCAATTGAAATGTGTTAGGGCGATACGGGCATGAGAAAGTGACGAGGGTAATATGAGGTTCGAAGCGGGGGTATGATCTGGAGTGTGATCTGGAGTGAGGTAATCTGAGGCGAGGTGGTTCGAAGTAAGGTGATCCGAAGTGAGGTGGTCCAAAGTGAGGTGGTCCGAAGTGAGGTTGTTCGAAGTAAGGTGGTCCGAGGTGAGGTTGTTCGAAGTAAGGTGATCCAAAGGGAGGTGATCCGAAGTGGGGTGCTCCGAAGTAAGATGATCCGAAGTGAGGTGGTCGGAAGTGGGATGGTCTGTGGTAAGATGGCCTCGGATAAGAGGGTCTCGAATAAGAGGGTCTCAAGTAAGAGGATGTCGAGCGAGATGATATCGAGTGAGTGCTTGACTTATCGCTCTTTGATTTTCCGTCCTCTGATTTTCCGTCCTTTGATTTTCCATCCTTTGATTTTCCGTCCTTTGATTTGCCATCCTTTGATTTTCCGTCCTTTGATTTTCCGTCCTCCGATTTTCCGTCCTTTAATTTTCCGTCCTTTGATTTTCCGTCCTTTGATTTTCCCTCCTCTGATTTTCCGTCCTTTGGTTTACCATCCTTTGGTTTGCTGTCGTCTGATTTATCTCTCTTTGGCTTATCGTCCTTTGGTTTGATATCTTTGGATTTGACATTTTTTGGTTTGTCGTTCCTTGGTTTATCAGGACGCCTTGGTCGGAATTCCATCAAATAGCGTAGTGCCTCAGCTTCCTCTCCCGAGGGAACAAGCCATAGAGCAAATTCTGGGTGACACATTAGGTCGACAGGCCCGATATCAAAAGACTACTCACTGTAATCCATTACGGGTTGTAGCTGCCTGGAAGGACGACGGCAAGAATACGACCTTTGTCAATGACGCAACCACGCTTTAAATCCAAGAACACAGGTCAGTGAATGAGTGGTTATTGCTATCAGCGGCCAATGTAAACTTGTTAGCAGAGAGATAACTTTATAGAAGGAACAACTTTCTATTGCCCTGTGTGGAAGACCAGGGAATTGTGACATTAGGTGAGGACCAGAGCCGCATAATCATACCTCTCTAAATAATTTGCCTATCAGGAAACCGAAAGAAGCAATGATCCAAGAATGTCGTGGTCTTCCTCCGACGATAGCTTATCGACATGCACAGGGGGATTACTCGGATTTCGGTATGTACCTACTGCCACGAAATTGCCAGGTTGGTGAGTGGTAGCGCGACCAACTTCTTTTGAGGTCAAAATCATGATCCGCCCGCTGTGCGACATGATGTATACGTGGTATCCATACATGTGTCACCTGGCCGGTCCACCGCCCAGCCTGCGGGCGTATAAGTAGCGGGCCATGGTTCTTGTTCAAGATGATGAAATACCAAGGTGGAGGGTCTTCATTTCCCGATAAGTCCACTCCCTGTTCACACTTACCTTTGCAACATCGCTCATGAAGCACTAAAGTCGTCGCAAACATGGCTGCTGTGATACTTGAATCATTCCAGGTACAAAAGGCAGCGAGATCAGATCTGATGGATTTGAAAGTTCAAGTGCAACTGACCAACAGGGTGAATAGTAAGAGCAAGATCTAAATATGGGTGGCGTTTCCCAGCAGGGGGAGCTGTAACTTGGAGGCACAATTCCGATGTTCGGAGCCGTACGGTCCCGCGTGTGTTGTGTTCCGGTAATGATTTTTTTTGGATGTGGGTATCTGACTGCCTCTCGGATCGCTGTTGGCTTTGTGATTGCAGTCTGGGCCCCTAGTGGGTCACTTGACGCCATTGCAATTTTTAGGCAACTGAATATGCAATACAAAGGTTTAGATAAAACCAATCCTTACTGCACACACTAATACGCTGCGCTAATACTGAACCGATGAGAAGAAGATAAGGTGTGTTGCATATCAGATAATCAAACTGGTGCAAGACTCATCAGCATTTCAGGGTCCGAAGCCCATGGCTCATTGCTTTATAACGTCATGCATAGGGCTCTTCGTGCAATTATAAGTTCCCTCTGTGCGTTAGGTGTCTGCCCACACACCGCTCTAACCATGTTTCCTTCAGTTGATGGTCGTCTTGCTAACCTCGCCATCTTACTTGCTTCCTTTATTGTCATCACATCCCTCAAGAGGTTCATTACGAACAGACAGAAAAAACTTCCCCCTGGCCCCGTGCCGCTCCCACTGTTAGGAAACGTCTTGTCTCTCGACACCAAGGCGGCATGGTTAACTTACACCGAATGGGCTGCTGCTTATGGTACGTGGTCAGATAGTACCACGGCAGGCTGCATATATGGTGCAAATCATCATATCAGGAGACTTGTTTTTCGTACGACTTCTAGGCCAGGAAGTCGTGGTGATCAATTCTCAGCACGTTGCAGAAGCCTTGCTGGACAAGCGTTCTCGCATTTACTCTGATAGACCATACATAGCCACACTTGAGCCGTGCGTTCTTCTAACATTCTTCCATTGAATCATTATGGAATACAGGCAGGTTTGGCTGGTCTGTCGTATTTGTATTCACAAGCTATAGTGACGAATGGCGTCTTTGCTGACGACTCTTCCACCAAACTTTTCGTCCTGACTCTGCGCTCAAGTTTCGTCCAATGCAAATCAAGCAGGCTCGTGAGATGATCGCCAACCTCATTGGTGATCCTCAGAATTATCATTCTCACTTTGCAACGTCAGTCTATGTGTTTGTAAACATCAAATTATTATTAACCTGTTCATAGATTCTCGGCATCAGTTGCGATGTCAGTGACCTACGGCTATCAAACTAGTCCTCATCATGATCCTCTGGTTCGAATCGTAGAAAATGCACTGGCTATTGGCCTCGAGGTGGTGACCCCAGAGAAAGCAATCTTGCTCAAAACCTTCCCTTTCTGTAAGCTCAGCTCTTTTCCTCATGAAAATAGCTGATATTCTGTACTCTGCAGTACTGAAGTTACCTGACTGGTGCTGGGGATCCTCGATCAAATGCGATGCTCGAACGTCGTCCGATCGTATGAGAGAAATGACTGACGTGCCGTTCCAATATGCGCAAGACCATATGGTGGGCATCTTTCGTTTTTAGAAATATTGGTTCTGTTCCAGCTATTAATCACATCATCGTCAAGGTTGAAAACTCGGCACTTGGTCAGTTTTCGATGGTGGCAGAAAATCTTCAACGAATCGAGAAGCAAGATCAGACATCCCGATCATTTTTTGAGGGCGCCTTAAAGAAAGCAGCTACTACTGCTATTATTGGCTCGTCGTCTTTTCACAAGAGACGGTATACCTCTCATTGATACATATCTATTCAGGTTCATACGAAACGGTTAGCGGATGTCCGAACCATATTGTCAACTCCTGAATTTCTTTGCAGACTACTTCAGTCGTCATGACTTTTGCTCTCGCCATGGTATTGTATCCAGATGTTCAGAGACGCGCACAAGCAGAGATCGACTCAGTGGTTGGCCTGGATCGCTTACCTACCTTCGAAGACCGAACGTCACTACCATATGTTGAATCAGTTCTGCGTGAGACTTTGCGATGGCAGCCTGTCTTGCCCCTTGGTAATCTTTCTTCCTGTGTTATTTTGCCTTTGCTGAAGGTGTTTTTGTAGGTGTTCCACATGTCACCACGGGTGATGATACATATGACGGTTATTTCATTCCGAAAGGTCTGCTGTTCTTATCCATCGAGTACATCATTTGTAATATCGTACATCAGGAACAACCGTCATGTGCAACGTGTGGTCAGATAGATCCTCTCTAGCTTTCAAAATGCTGATGTTATATTGCAGGGGCATTACACGGGATGAAAAACGGTACCTTGGTGCATCTCGTTTTACGCCGGAAAGGTTCCTAGACGTCAACGGCGCGCTGACAGATGATGACCCTGCTGGATATATTTTTGGCTTTGGCCGGCGTGCATGCCCAGGTGGGCTGAGTTATTTCATCACCGTATACAGTTGATTCATTCTTTTATCAGGCCGATATGCTGCTGATGCTTCTTTATGGTCCGCTATTGTTACTATGTTAGCTACGGTGGAATTTTCTTCTGCCAAAGATGATCAGGGCAAAGTGATCGAATTCACCCCCCAATTCACGACAGGAATCACCCGGTACTTGGTTTTCCTGTATCGTTCCATCTTCCCGTCACTAACTAGTAGTTTCATCGCTTTAGCGCCCCTATGGTCTTCCCTTGCAATCTCTCATCACGCTCTCGTGCCCATTCGGAACTTGTGAATGTTTTCTGAACAGAAGTATAAAATGTTATCAAGTGAATGGGTTGTATGCATATATTTTCCTTTCCATTTCTTGGGCCCACGCCGCCAATCTGTCCAACATTTGACAACCCCTTGTTTGACCCTTTTCGTTAGCTCTGTTTACCGCATGTGGTATATACGACTTGAAATATGTACATTAATCAATGTAGCATGAACTTCAACCACCTGCTTGCGCGCGCACGAGTCGCAACTGAGATCTATAGAGTAACTCTGTCCGTCGGAAAAATATATGTTCCTAGTCACGTGAGCAGTAATACCGGACGACACGATTAAACAATAATATTGTTCCACTCTTGGTTCCACTTCCTGCTACGTACTTGGTCTAGTACATCCCCACCTCGAGCTCACCAACGTCGTGGTCTTCATCACTCACTCAGCCTCATTTATTTATCACGAGAAATCTACAATCATTCGTGTTGAGAGCTCGAAAGCTCGTTGTCAACAGCTAGGGGCTGTCACGGTTTCACTTGAGCCTCTTGCGTATCTAGGTGAAAGTGCAACTACTGTACGTGCCTTTGAGAACAATACATAGAAATGCCAGATAATTAACTGATGAACGAACAGCCTTCCTCATACAGGTGAACCGTGAACATAGAACTGTAATATAAGAGGCCCGGGCGACTACCATTTAGGAAATACTTCACCCCTTGATTTTTGACGCCCGCACTACCACTTACATAAAGTTACTATTGACTGTCACGGTCGCTCTTGTGCCTCTGGGTCTTGATCTGACTCCTTCAACGTTTCTGCCAGTGTCGTAGAATCGCGACTTGTGACCCCCTAGGATCGTTCATCCCATCTATATCAACTCTATCAAATTCCGCCATGCAACGGGGTTTTTTGAAGACCCAAAAGGCTAAACGACGCGTCGCAAAGGCTGTAGATTCTGAGTCTGCCAAAGGGCCTCCGTCCAAGAAATCCAAAGAAAAGGGTACTAAAGAAGAGGGGTATGTCGCTATCATCAATGCTTGCACACTTTAGAACCATTTCGTTGCAGCCTGGATGAACATTCACGAGCCGAATACACTGATTTCAGTACGATCAACCCCCACAAACTCCCCAAATCTATCCAAGATCAAAACGATAACGACACACATTCCATTGGATATGGAAAGAATCGCATGATCTTCCGCGTTTGGCCTCGTTATCCTAATGGACAAGCCATCAAGCCGTCTCCACTGAGGGGAAAGGAGGCCGGCAATGGACTTGATTTATGGGGTGCAACGCTCTACGACTTCTACCATGTTCGACGTCTCCCAAATGTGCCAAACTACATCACCAATTCCACGGGAAGCAGACTTGCGAAATGGATGCGCCAGGCTGGTGAGCTTACAGCCAAGGATGAGCTCTATTGGGCCGATCAGGAAGAGGATCCCAAAGAGATACCAGTAGCTGACATCGGGGAACTGATTGGATGCTTTGACACACGTGTCAGATTGGGCATATTCGATCAGTATTCCTGCCGAAAGGAGGTTAGAGAGAAGGCAAAATCAGGGTCTAGCTACATAGCGGAAGTCACAGATGCAGAGGATCCGATCCCTCCAGTCGGTGATCAGGACGAGAATGTCGGTATCAAGCAAGAAGAGGAGGCAGTACAAGCTGCTAACGATGATGCAGTAGAAGATGCAACCGCCGGCGTGCAGCTCAATGACGTCATGCAAGTAGATGAAGCAGGCGAAACGTCGCCAGAAAAAGCTGCGGACAAAACGACAGAGAAACCTGTGGACAAACCGACAGAGAAACCTGCCGCGCCACTGCCGAGCATCGATTCGCCCTTCCATCCAGACCATTATCCCTCTCCATATCCCTTCATCCCGTGCACGCACGATGGGAATCCGACTCTCCAACAGCGGATTCCTTTATATCTTCTCCCTAAAAAGCTCCATGTTCACGACCCTTGGAATAAATTATCTATCGATGAGGGTGATACCAACTACGAAACTCCGTGGCTTTCCAAAGTTGGCAATCGAAACATCGTCCGAACATATTCCCTTTCTCTTGCGCCACAAGGCAAAGAGGCTGCGCTGAAGGCACAGAAACTAGCCGAGATAGCGGAAGACGAAGCGGCGAAAGAACAGAGCGTGGTTCAAATTTTCCCTTCTAGCAAGGAAGGGCCGACGGAAGAGCCGCTAATTGAAATCATACTTCCTCCGCGACCCCGGAAGAGGATGCAAGTGGAAGAAGCTCATCTCTATCTTTCACCAAGTGCAGTGGGCTCCGGTAATCATTCAGTTGTGCATAGTGTGGATTGGGAGCTTCCCCGTGACCTTTTCATCGAGCCTCGTCTGTGCAGAACTTGTGTGGAGTCGGACGCCCGTCGACAGATTCAGAAGTTAAAGGACGATGGGAAATGGGAAGCACTTTTAAATAACCCAGTAGGGAAACCTGAAGAAATTCTACAGACCGGCCTGGATGTCGCCCCCGGAACAGAGTCCTCGCAAGCCTCTGGCTCGAAGCGAACGGTTGGTCACGTTACCATTGAGGAACACCAGCTCCCACTGGTGACCGCATCCTTCATCGGCCCAGACGACGACAAACCGGGTGATGAAAAGTCCACCAATGCCAATGACGCTGAATCGGCGCCAATTTCGGACGGAGATCCCCCTGCGGACTCTTCCAATACCCCAGCTCAAACAGGGGATGCCAATGCCGATGTTGCAACGGACGCCGTAGATGGGCGGGATCTGAAACCCGGAGCCAAAGTGGAGCAGGAAGAGTCACCTGACGTTGAGATGAAGGTGGACGAGATTCAGAACTCTGAGGAGCCGGGCACGCTGGGGTCTGTTCCCAAGGAGGACAAGGGGAAAGGCAAAGAGGAGTCAGAGCAGGATCGTGGGGATGAAGAACAAGTTGACAGAGAAGAAAGTGAGGGTGAACAGAGTGAAGAAGGCAGCGAGGAAGAAATATTCACCGTTGAACCTCCGAGGGTCGTCCGCGTCGCATCTTACTCTGGACCAGCTCTTCGCATCCACACTAATGAGAAGTGGCAAACCTCCTGGGGTCGATGCGGACACGGCGGCAGCGGTTCTGGGACAGTTCCGCGCACCGCGACAGTCTCTGTTATTGCGAAACTCTCAATCGAACACGACCTCCACCTCGCTCGGGAGGCGAGCAACTATCAATCGTTCCCTGACCACTTCTTCGAACACTGGAACGGATATAATGTCATGCCCCCTCTGCACGATCCTGTCCCCGTCGGGGCACTCTGCCCGCAGTTCTACGGGTATTACACACCCGATGATCCAACTGATGGCACGAATCATCCCAACTATTTGAGTCCGATCTTACTTCTCGAGTGCTGTGGCGAGGAGATAAACCCAGATGAGTTGTGCATAGACGACAAGCAAGAATGCGCATCGCTTCTCTTCCGCTTCCATCATGCAGGGTGGTTGCACGAGTCTTTCGCAGCGCGGAACATTCTGTGGCAGCAGGGAAAGCCAACGGAGTGGCCAATCCAGCGGGCGTTCTCGACCAAGAGCTTCCGCCTGATCGACTTTGGTAGATCGAGAAAGATGGATAGTTCATTGACGAGGGCGAGCGAGGAAGACACAGCTTTGCGCCTGCTCCACCTATTGCATCATGCAGCTTGATAGAGACATTCATTACGCTGGAAAAAGATAGAAACGTTTGTTTTCTTACATTGTCTTTTCTTTTTGACGATCCACTGCTTTGTTTATGCCACAGATCATCTGTGCGAAGTGAATGCTGTTATTTTCAAAACTTGGTACGATCACAGTAAAAATAAAAAATAATATCAGTCAACGTCGTTCCCCTCTATTACTTGTTCGCCATCTTCCGAAAACTTCACGTTGTTCTGCAGAAGGATTGTCATGTTGAGCCAGAAAATATTATTGGTTTTACTCACAGGGTCAGACGACGATTTCCCAACATATTTCGTGTGATCTAGTGCAATGCGATTAGTCAAGAAGTGTCTCGGCGTGCTAAAGACAAGTCTTACATCCATACGCCACTAAATCGCCTACAGAATTGGTAAAATCTACACGAGTATAGGCCAAGGATTTCCCTGGTTTGGTGAGCTTGTAGAACACTATAACAAATCTTGCATCACTTACCCATGGCAGTAAGTGTGGCTCGTGCATGAAGGGTATCGCCTGTCCTGCCTGCAGGTCGTACAAAGGATGCACCAATATCTGTAGAAACGCCGGTCATGTAGTGACCTTTGCTTGCAACAGCGAGGGAGCCAAGGGTATCAGTCAGCGACAGGATTAGGCCGCCGTGCACGGTCTAGTTTGGTGCGTCAATAAGTAGGATACTATGGGACATTGAGATACGCACCCCGACTCTGTTTACTGCAGAGACATAAGTGTTATGGAAGCTGGTGAGAAAAGTACGTACAATTAGATTGATCTATCTTCAGTGAAAAATCAACTGTTCCGGGGATTGCGCGGTGAATGACAAGCTTGAAAGACTTTGTCAGTATTAGATGCAAGTAGAGATGGTACACTCTTACATTTGGAAAACACTGAGCATCATGTCCTAGTTGCTGTATTCAGCGACTCGCGCCAAAAAGTGTCTAGTGGGAATACCTTTGTTGTCTATGAATGATTTCCATACCTGGCATAGTTTCCTCTGTGAGAACGCGCAAGCAAGCTCTATAAAAGACCTACCCTTCGGGTGAATCTCAAAGAAGCAGACATTATGTGTCTTTCCAGTCGGATACGCCGTCCGGGGACTCCGGGCAGTTGAAAGTTTCCAAAGGGAGAAGGAGGTTGTTTAGTTCTAAAGCTCTTGCCAAACAATGGCTGCTGCCGAGGTGTTGAATCTCCGATCGGCTTTCTCCCCACGGCGTCGTCAACTCGAACTACGTCTACTCAGCCATTTATCAGCGTCGCCCAATCGTCTTCATTCACTTCCTTCAAAGTCAAAGTACAAATCATGTCTGACCTTTGTCCCGTCTACGCACCCTTCTTTGGTGCCATGGTCAGTTCTAAATTCTCCTTGTTTGCTTTCGAGACTGAAGAGTCTGTAGGGCTGCACCTGCTCAATTGTGTTCGCCTGTAAGTCTTATGAGCAGACGTTGTCAGAAGCTCTGATGTCCTAACCAATCCTTGTGCTTGTGTGCGCTAGGTCTTGGTGCAAGGTCTGAAACTTTTTGGCAGCAGGGTTTGTGGTGTGTTGAACATTTTTCCGCAGTTATGGTACCGCAAAGTCTGGTGTTGGTATTTCTGCTATGGGTGTCCTCCGGCCAGACCTCGTGATGAGATGTGTTGTTCCTGTTATCATGGCTGGTATTATCGGTGTACGTTTTTGCCTTCCTCCATCTTAACTCCCGTCGGTTCTGATAATGCGCAGATCTACGGTCTGGTGGTATCCGTCCTCATTTCCAGTTCACGTGTGTTCTGTCCTTTTCCTGCCCATCATCCTGGATGCTGAATTGTATGCAATTTAGTGCAGGCAAGAATGACCCTTGCGCAAGGATTCATTGACCTCGGTGCTGGTTTGTCGGTCGGTCTCGCTGGTCTTGCCGCAGGCTTTGCCATTGGTATCGTCGGTGATGCTGGTGTCCGTGGTACTGCACAACAGCCGCGACTTTTCGTTGGAATGGTGAATATTCATTAACTTGGTCTTGTCAAGAACAAATCTAACATAGTGCGCAGATTTTGATTCTCATCTTCGCTGAAGTGCTGGGTCTTTACGGTAAGATGATATTTTGTATAGACGATGTGTTGTATTGAACAATCGTCTGTAGGCCTGATTGTTGCACTCATCATGCATACCAAGGCTGGAGAGTTGATAGGAATGGTATATGGTTTCTCTTTGACTTTTACTCGTTTTATTAACATGACTTCACAGTGCGACGTTTAGAAAGATGACGGAGTTCATTATAAACATTCATGCTGTTTTCCGTCTAATGCATCCATGTTTATACTTGCAAATATAGTCCTTGCATGTATCGTCTACTTGAATAATACATCCAGGGTCAATGATTACCCTCTGTTGTGTGAACCTGTGTTTTAATTACTCGTTGAGGATTGTCAGGCCCAAGTGACCAAAATACTTGGGAGTTCTCAGAATCGCCGACGTGGCGATCAAATAGTGTCTTCCTTAGACTTCCTACAACTGTTTATCGGAAGCACCCATGTCACTTTAGCTGTCTTTGAATCTTTGGAAGACCTAAAAGGCTGTGGTTGTCAGAAACTTCATTGATGGTTTCTTTCACGACGCTGCCCAAGACGTTGCTCCTTCTCCTGCTTACCTCGCCAGCTTTTGCCATCTCGGTCGCTCTTCCCTCCTCCAAGAATGACCCATTTCGCGCTATAGTTCTCGCCCATCGCAAGCGCCAACCTGAGCCGCCTCTCTGCTGCTTGACACCACCTTCGTCAATAGAATCACCAGATGATGTCGAGGATGTCCTGCTCTCATTTGAGGAGTGGAAGTCTAAACAGTTCCTGTACCAATCCAAACCGCAGTCGCAGACCCAGCCTCGGGTAACTGCTCATCTCCAAATTGAAGCTTTAGAAAACACGGAGTCAAGTACTACCCATGAGACTAATGTCACTGTGCCGGACACGTCTGCATACCTCCCGGAAACGGCACTCTCCCCTCATTTCAGGGTACCTATCACCGACCGTTTCAATTATGCAAACTTAGATTGCTCTGCACGCGTACACACTTCTCATCGCTCTGCCAAGTCTCCTTCGTCCATTCTATCATCAAAAAAGGATAAATATATGCTTTCGCCATGTTCTACGGGCAAGGAGGAACAGTTCGTGGTTGTAGAGTTGTGCGAGGATATTAGAATTGACACCGTGCAACTCGCGAACTTCGAGTTTTTCAGCGGAGTGTTCAAGGATTTTTCGGTGAAGGTTGCAAAGACTTACACGACGTCTGATGACGGGTGGGTACTGGCGGGTACTTACAAGGGAAAGAATGTCCGTGGTGTGCAGGCGCGTGTTTCTCACAGACATTCAAACCTTGCCGTTGACCGAGATACAGTCTTTCCACACGCCAACTACCCTGCGCGATTTCTACAGGTACATCCGGATCGACTTTCACTCACACTATGGACATGAGTATTACTGTCCTGTCTCACTTCTTAGGGTCTATGGTTTGACCCATCTTGAACAATGGAAGTGGGACATGTGGGAAGAAGAGAGTCATAAACTCGCCCGAGCTCAGGCTCAAGTATTTTCCTCCATTACGGAGCCCCTGCCCATCAGTTCTGGGGGATCTGAACTGAACAAGTTTATGGATGAGCTCGAGGCTCGGACCATACCTTCTGCATATCCTCTTGATACCCCACTTCCAACAACCAAAGTCTTGTCTACGGCACATATGAGTCTAAGTAGCTCTCAGGCATCCAAGGCGGTGAACCGGACATATATCTCGGTCAACTCTTCTTTTCAATCCACAGCGTCTTCACCGGCCATTGTTCCTACCGACTCTGCCATCATGCAGCAGCCTACTTCGTCCGCTACCTCAACGTCTGTATTGAGTTCCGAGACGAGCGTCGTGTCTTTCGACACTGCCATATCCTCTACAGCATCCCTCTCGCCTAATGAGAGCACGTCTACCCAATCCCCATATCTAATCTCTTCAGAACTCCCGCATACCTCTAATATCGAAGCATCTTTATTGCAATCTCCATCATTATCATCTCACCACGGCCCATCTGCGAACACGCTGGCGACAGCCTTACCAACATTATCTATCCCTCCACCCGTCGGATCAAGTGGAGAGTCAATATACCGCACAATTATGACCCGACTGACTCTCCTAGAGGCAAATCATAGCCTATATGCACGTTATGTGGAGGAGCAGACCTCTGGTGTACGTGAAGTACTCAGGAGGTTCGGTGAGGATGTTGGCAGGTTGCAGAGCGCCGTGAGTTCCACTAGAGCTAATTTGAACGACCTATCTCATACATCTCTCAGAGTCGCATACAGGCACAAATGTATCAGCGCACAGTTCACGAGTGGGAAAGACAGCGACTTCGTCTGGAGTTCGAACACAGTGAATTACTCTCGCGAGTAAATCATCTTGCTGAAGAGGTTGGCTTCCACGTCCTGAAAATGTTAATGGTTGCTCATGATGTTTCAAGGTTACTCTTGAAAAGCGTCTTGGGATCGCACAACTTTGCTTACTTCTGGCAGTGCTTGTATTCATTGGCTTAACCAGAGGTGCACCATCCATAGAACCCCCTCAACTTATTACTCGTTCTGCGAGAGAATGGGGCCGGCGCAACTTAAGTTTCGCTAGCAGTAACGCTGACCGTGGCTCGAATAATATGCTGTTCCGAAATCGCAGTCCTGAGATTCCTGTTGGCAAGAGATCTGAACCCAAAAAGGGTCGTCCTTCGGGCCCAGGTTCTCCTGTAGACTTTCCGCCTCATCGAACGCAACGGTCCTCCGATCATGATCCTATTCCACGCCGACCTCCGCATTTTACTACCTTCACAGATAAACGATCCACCCCGCGCGGCTCCACCGCCACGAAACGGTCCGGCCCTCCATTTGCCAATTCTACACTCCGCACCCCCACCCGTCGCATACCTATTTCTATCTCCACGGAGATATCCACACTCCCCCGCGCCGCCCATATGGTGCGAACAAACTCGCATTCATCAACAGGACTCATCATTCCTAAATCTACCAAACGCTTGGCACGGACAGCTCACCTGCACGAAGTCAAAAGTTCGCTCAGTCGAAGGGAGAGCCAAAACTCGAAGCGAGGAAATAATCTGGAAGACGTGTTCCGTGGTCCTTCTATGAAGACTCATTATCATTCGCGACGCCTGTCAAGCCCGCGACGACCCCTCTTTCCGATTGACCTCTCACGTCAGCCAAAAGACTTGATATCGGAAGATACCACTGATCCTGATGCGTGGGTTGACACCGATGTTGAAGGAGGATCCGAATGTTCAGAATTTGCTGCACTCGAACTCTCACTTTGATATGACGATTTTCTTATGTTCCGGCGAGAATCGAGGCTATGTATTAAGGGAAGAACCTCAATTGCACATACCATAGATATCGTCATGCAATCACTGCGGCTGAGCGCTGCAGCGCTATGCATCGATGACGCATCGATGCGTCACAGCCCGCACTAAGCCCGTACCGCGTGACTGTCGAACTCGTGATTTTGAATACAGTCTTGGTTACGATGTATGTCCGAAACCAATATTTCGTAGTCTGTGGACTCCTAGTCGTTGTACTGGAAATTATGGGAAGCTTCTCAATTCCTTGAGCATTTGGCTTACGCATTGCTAGTGATCGACACGATGATATTCAAGTGTTTTGTAGGGGGTAAGCTCTGCTTGTTTATCAAAGAATCAGGCTCATGAGATCAATTCCAGAGGTGTTCATTCTCTCTGGGACTATCTCTGCACTTGTTTCCATCAGCGAGATGTCGGGTTTGAACCCTCAGCACTGTATGAGAGGCTGAGGTGTAGGTGTGTCTATTTGACTTGAGAGGTGTTGTCTCACTACTAGAACTAAATAGCTGCCCATCCTCGGCCCATCCATACTTGTCTCAAGTGGCAAGCTGGACTATCCGCCACCCAACCTACTCCTTTAAAGCTTGATGGGCCTGGTACTATTGAAATGCTACAAGATGTCCTGAGCAGTTGAGATCTCGTTCATTCGGCTCTAACTTAACCAGGTGTCCTACAGCTCCGTGCACAACGGACATTTCACCACAAGAGACTAGTCATGAAGTGCCCAGTTCGTGTGGCACCACAAAATACTAAGTCGTATTCAAATGATTCTACAAGATCTGATGACGTTGGAGCGGTAACCACCTGCGTGCAACTCGCGTGCCAGGGCACAAATTTGAAGCCCACTGCTCAGCGCTCAACTGCGCCTGCTGGAGGCCGATCACTATATTTAAATCCATTCGGAACATCTCTGTTCCATCCATCAATGCATCATGCATCATGCTGCGGTAAATCCGCGCCATGGTCATCGTGGGAATTCGCTACAGTGATGCTTACTGGTCCTTTCCTACCTCCAAGCCGGTTGACTCTTCAAGCTTCAAGCTTCACATACAATGTTACGTCAACTTATGTTGCCCATCATACGTTCCCAGAACATTGCATTGCATTCTTTAATTGAGCAACCTCAATTGTTTCCTAGGTAAATTAGTATTTTAAGGCTTGACAACCAATGCCACTAGTGTCAAAATTTGCAGCATCAACTACAGGACCGCTGTGTATCTTTGACACTCGATGTAACGCATCGTGCCTCCATCTGCCAAACTTCAAGTTCGAACGTAAATGTTCGTGTCGTTTGGTGCCTTCCGGTGTCCATTTCTGCTGATGGCTTTCATCCAGTATTGTCTCATGGAAACGCATCCCCAGTCGGTACGGAAAAGGTCGATTAGGCTTCCTTGGGTGAGTAGGTCCAAGGTCTGGATGTGCTAAAGGCCACCAGATCCAGGATCTGAAGCTTCCTATCCCCTACTAGCCCTCCTCCAGCCGCAAATTACCCTCCCGGTGGGTCATAATCGCCGTGAGCAGCTAGCCGATCAATGAATGTGGTTGGAGTCGTGCCTTGGAACGTTTCCTTCCGATGAGTGTATAGGCTCAGTCACGGTATTATCATTCTTGAACAGAACGAGATGGTCGGCGCAGTTGGGGTAGCGGCAGCCTATTGATGAGAACTTTCGCAGGTTCGATACTGCTGCCATCCCCACCACCTAGCATTCCTCTTGCCCTAGCTAGCGGGCCCTCCCTTATCCCAGAAAACGAGCGCCTGCAGCGGGTTTTAAGGACGCGGTCTGCCTCGCGATGTTCCGCTGGACACTTCCGGCTTGGGCTTCGCTATAGAATAGGCAACACCTCACGCGCATAACTGATCTATACTACTCGACTCGATTTCTGTCGCAACCATCATTTGCGCAATACAGCTCGAGTTGTTACGTTCAGCACCTACGCACGAGTTCCAATTTCCGCTGCATGCAGCCAACGCCCCACACTTGAACCTACTTGAAGTATTTGTTGTTTCATAATGTAACTCATTCACATTTACGACGTACCATGCACGCAGATACTGGTTTCGCATGATAGACGGACGGATACACTGCACATATCGATGTAAGAAACAAACCTGTGCAGTCGAATCCCGAGGCGGGCTGCTGTAACTGTAAGCTTGGCTGACTAAATTTCAAGTCATCTATATTTGCTTCGACGCCTACTTCCCATATCAAACGACATACGCTTTTACACATTGTCTGTCTGATCCGACCTCGGTATTTCCGCCCTCCTCCGCGAGTGGTTTCCAGCCGCGCAACGGCAATCAGTTGTATAGTCTAAAAATATATCATGGCTATTTTACACCTCTACCATTATTGGGCTGTACCATAGGTTTTCGTTGGTCTAGTAGCGGTGTAGGGGAGCTGGACCAACGGTCGCAATTGTGGGTGCAAGTGTAACCTCGCTCCTGCTCGAAGTTGACGACAACTGATGTGCACATCATAAGAATATGTTAAATGTACTGGATGAAGTAGCCAAGCAGTCTGAAATTGTCACGATATACTTAGTCACGGTGGATCACGAAGTGGGTAATACCTCCACTAACGTGGGAATCGGCCAGCTCCCACAGTGCATGGATCCATTTCATTATATGCATAGCTAGTGCCAATCCATTATGGTGATTTCAGCCCGACTTGCGCCGTTCAACAATGCAACCATCATCAAAGCAGTTGTCGCCGCCGGCCGCCTCTCTTCAAAATTCCTTGCCGAGACAGTTGAGCGTCTAGTGCGCAGTCGGTCATTGCCAAGGTTCATAGGGCTATCACTAGCGCACTCTAGTACATCCTGCGGCAACCAGGCCCTCATCCTATTTTAATGCATCTAAGTCTAACTTTAGCATCGACTTTCTCTAAGCTGGTCCGTCGTGCACCAAACTCTTGATCGTTGCTAAATGAGAATGAAGGCACATGCGTACTCTTTTCCAGGATCCAGTCTGATCACTGCCTGATCCTCAGATGTTTCCTTCCGTCGCACTGCGACAGTGTCAGGTAGACAAGTACAAAACTTCCGCGCTGATACTTATCCTTCTGGAGTAACCATTATAATTATCCACGCTGCCTAACACAGATGTCATCCATATCTGCTTTGTTCAGTTCCAAGTTGCGAACAGGTTAGTGCTCAACTCCCTTATAATATAGCATGCGATCATTCCTTTCAGACAAAATCTAGTCAGATCTTCCCGCGCGGCATGTTTGACTGGCACTAGCCACCTGCATTCTTTTTTTACTATGCTCGAGGAGTTGTCTTGAACTGATGTGGCAACCTGACACTGCCACTACTACAGGACATTTACGGCCGTCTGGCTGTCCTGGCCATCTGACTTATTTTATGTTCTCCGAGTCATGGTTTCATGACACAAGTATGGTACGCCACCATTCTTCAATGTATCGGCAGGTAGTTGCTAACTCTAAGAGCAGTACAGTATTGGAATTAAAATGCATGAAGTGCTGGGAATTGCTGAGCAACTGTTTATGGAGGGATTACACGCCGGTCGTCATTAGTCGAGGTACAGCTGCTTTGAATCGGGATACCTCAGGCTGCCTCTGCAATATAAAAGCTGAGAGGGGTATGTTTCTTGCATCATCATCTTATCCTACATCCCACTACTCTCTCGGGTGCGAGCACTCCGGCCTATCGTGAATAATCACGATGCTTACTCCTATCCTAATTGCTTCTTTCTTTTCATTGATTAATGCTGCATCTATAGTATCTCGCTCACAGTCCTACCCTCGTTCACAATCATCTCAGCCTGCTGTACTAGGCCCACAAACCACAATAACCATAGGTAATAATGTTATCGCTCCCGATGGCTTCGAACGCTCGTGAGTCTATTGCCACGACACTCCTCGGGCTCACTCCTGATCTTTAACAGAGCAACTCTTGTCAATGGCATATTCCCTGGACCCTTGATTGCAGCCCAGAAGGTGAGCTTCCGTCGTCCTTGTCGTGCACAAGCGCTGACCTCACAATAGGGAGACAACTTTTCCATTCAGGTAGTCAACGAGCTCACAGACGAGACGATGTTCAAGAGTACCAGTGTCGTAAGCAGTGCCAATCACCCGCGCTTTCATTAACTTACTTTTGTTTGCCGCAGCACTGGCACGGTATCTTCCAAAATGGGACCAACTACGCCGACGGCACATCCTTCGTCACACAATGTCCGATTGCACAGAACAACTCTTTCACTCACAACTTCTCCGCCCCGAACCAAGCAGGTACTTACTGGTATCACAGTCATTACTCCGTCCAATATGTAAGTAGCTCTCGCATTTTGCTCGTGTGGTGGAGCACTAACCTATGGGACAGTGCGATGGTCTGAGGGGAGCCCTGGTTATCTATGACCCTGATGACCCTTTGGCATACATGTATGATGTCGACAATGGTGAGCGAGTAATCTGTGCATGTTATGAAACCTCTGACCATCATGTGTTACCAGCAAGTACCGTAATCACACTTTCCGACTGGTGAGTTTAAGGTACATTGGTAACGTACCCGACTAAAGCAGTGTCACTAGGTATCACGTTGTAGCTCCTGTCTTGCGCCACATCATAGGTACCGACGCCAACTCTTCGCTTATCAACGGACTGGGTCGTTATGCAGGCGGACCCGCGTCTGACCTGGCTGTGATCAACGTCGAACAGGGAAAGCGATACCGCATGCGACTGGTTGCAATGTCCTGCGACCCTAATTTCAATTTCACCATCGATGGCCACAACTTCACCATCATCGAAGCGGATGGACAGCTGACCGAGCCACTGCCTGTAGATCAGCTCCAGATTCTTGCGGGTCAGCGCTACTCTGTGGTTCTGGTAGCCAACCAGCCAGTGGATAACTACTGGATACGCAGTCTTCCTAGTTTGGCGGGTGCATCCTTCGAAGGGGGAACGAACTCTGCTATATTGCGCTACCAAGGCGCCCCGCAGGTCGACCCGACCACGGTCCAAACGACCATCCAGGACCCATTGGTAGAGACCAACTTACATGCTCTAATCAATCCCGGTGTTCCTGGCATTCCGGGGTACGGGAATGCAGATATCAACCTCGACCTCCAGATTACCTCTCTCGGCGGATTCTTCTCTGTCAATAATGCCACATTCGCACCACCCACCGTTCCTGTTCTACAACAAATTCTCAGTGGTGTAAATCCATTTAATCTACTTCCAAACGGGAGTGTGATCCCTCTAAAAGCCAACCAAGTGGTGGAGTTGACGATGAAAATAGTATCTGGTCCAGGTGGACCCGTGCGTCTTTTCCTTTCCTTTGATGCTTATGTGTCTGATTCATAACATACCAGCATCCCATACACCTTCATGGGGTAAGTTCACCTTGACTTCGATGACATATTTGATTGGTACTGATGATGGTCATCAGCACTCATTCGATGTCGTACAGAGCGCAGAAAGTAGTACCTTCAATTATGTGAACCCAGTTCGCCGTGATGTGGTAAGCGTTGGTACTACGGGGCAACAGATGGTGATACGATGGACGACCGACAATTCTGGCCCGTGGTTCTTGCATTGGTATGTTATTATTATTTTTTGAGCCATCATGAACAGTACTAACTATGAACCAAAAGCCACATTGACTGGCACCTTGATGCGTATGTCTTTGAACGTCTTCGTAGAAGAAATGACTGATTTTTCGCATCCAGCGGTTTTGCCGTAGTAATGGCGGAAAGCCCTTCAGATACCGCTGCACATGTGAACCCCGTACCACGTAAGTCATATTTCAGGAGACAGCATTTCCATGGCTGAACAGCTTTCCAGAGGAATGGTACGAGTTGTGTCCGACCTTTGACTCTTTAACGCCTACCCAGTTGGGGGGTGGGGGTCGCTTCGCCTATGAAGAAGCAGCTAGTATTACCACTGCGGCTCTTCTCTTCCCACCATCACCACTCCCTTAAATACCACTATTATATTATTATTATTTTCGTTTCCGTAGGGGGCATCATGTTTACAGGATATACTGTATGTGGGTAGTGTATTTTTGTATCCTAGTTACATGTACATGGACCTCTCTATTCCACTCAGCACTTACATAAATGCACGAGGATAATGCGTAGGATGTGAAATGGCAACCTAATAAAGATTCTGAGGAAACACGTTGAATAAGAAATTTACAAGTAATATAGGAGTGATAATCACTCCGGAGCAAAATCTGAGAGCAACAACTTCAGCATGGAACGAACATACTGATCAATAGAAACCATTCCAGTCCGACATCTGCTGCCAAGTGGCTGTGTCGAATATCCTAATCCGATGCCGAGATAACTTTCTTTCCGTCCGACCAGGCCAAAGCTCCAAACTGTCTAATCGCGTTCGAGTGCGGTGAGCACTGGTTCGCCCATCTTCGCATCCCAGGATTTACTCCGTCCTTAAAGTCGCAATTTGTGTCTTGTCGAGTGAGTAGATTATGGTGTACAGACACATGCCCGGTTTTGATTGTCAGGACTGTACTGTCTCTCCGTTCTTGACATCCCAGATTCTCACTATCCTGCCGTCCGAGGATTCGCTGCTTAGCATTCGGTTACCATTCACACTCCAGTACACTCACAACACATTGTCACGTCTATGCCCTGTCCATTTTGTGACGACCTTTCCAATCTCGACTGTCCCATAATTTCACTTTCATCTTGACTTCCGCTGGCAACAGTCTTGCCGTTCGGAGACAATGTCATTTGCACACCGCTGCTTTCCTTTTCCTGCCATCTCGCCAGTCCTCGCCTATCTGTGCGCCGCTTTACAAGTCCCATGGTCGTAGCGAGCCGTCCCTCGAACATGTGATGGTCCTCCCCCAGGCAGGTGCACAACGCCTTGTTCCTGTGCAATGACTTCTGGCGTCTGTTGTTTTATACTGGTATTTGAAGACATGGTCGGCGCCGGGAAGGTCTCAAGTATAGCAGATGATCCATGACGCGACAGAAGCCCGTCAGGATCTTTGGATTAAAACGAGTTGTCCTGCAACGACAAATATTCCTGGTCAGTCGGCCTGTTTATCTTTTTTTGGCTTCTGCTCCCGTCAACATAAGCGTACAAGCCATCGCTCACCAGACAGTCTGCTTATAGGAATCCAATTCTCACCCAGAAGCCAACTCCGGCACCGTGTATACAGGAGTTGCGTATTGGACAATGTTTAGAGGGCGTCCAAAGTTGCTGGTAAGCGGTGGGTATAGACGAATTCTGCTCAAATCACCAGCGATCATTGGGCACCATAAATTGCCACTGCGAAGGTCCTATCTATCACTACTGATTAATGAGCTACAAATTTACTTGCTCGTGTTGACCTGTGAGATGAGTTTGGCTGGATTACAATGTTTTTCAACCCCCTAGGCGGCAGGCTACGTACATTGTGAATGAGGCACTAGACTAAATATGTCCACTGCCTGGCAACCACGTCAGTGTAACGGGTGGACTTCACGTGACCAATGCGGTGGAATTTCTTGACTTGAAGTTGCCAATCATCTGTCTCGTTGCCCTCAGGGTAACTACAGTAAAGCTCCTCTAACGGACCAGCAAGCGACTGGCGTTCTAGTATGATGCGCCGTATGAGTTGTTTTGGAACATCAAACACAACAAGTGTCTGAAGTCCAGGGAGAGGGAGATCTTGCAGTCTGCTGGATGTGGGGAGCAGCGCCGTTGCCAGCACGAGATTGTCGTAATCCTCCCCTGGTCCTAATGTCAATGTTTTGACCTTAGACATCTTGGTGTACAGGCGATGAAGGAACCCAGCATCTACATGCTGGGCAAAATCGAAAAGGTGGAGTTCATCCAGCTCTAGAGGATCCTCAGAATCGGTAAGATTTACCAATTCATCAAGGAAATATTCAATACTGTCGTCAGGCTGCTCTGCGTTTACACACAAGGTCAAGATCCGAAGATCAGGCATTTGAACATTGTGGAGAAATCCCGTGCCCCAACAATCGATTGTGCGCGACTTGATAGCCAGGCTATGCAAACGAGGCAACTTGATGGTGTGTGTATTAAAAGATTGAAGGTTCACCTCGAGCGCCAGAGTCCGGAGGTTGATGAGTGCGCCAAGGAACTGCGACAACATTTCTGCTTCAGGCCCCGTGCGTGAATTTGTGGTGTATGCATTCATGTGGGTATCATAATGGATCCGGAGGTTTGTGAGATTGGACGATAGCATAGGACGATGATGGCCAGGCCCAGGTTATGCCGAAAAGAAGAAGATCGCGGATGGGAGGCGCTGAACCGGGGAAAAGCGATGGTTCATCAATAAAATGAGTTGCATGACGTGAGTTGTGTATAAATTGAAGATGCAATTTTTCTAGTCCACAGGCTGGATGGACGGAAGGGCGTGACATCAACGAAAGTGCTTGATATGTGTGGGCAATGGAGGTCGTCCTGAGCGTAAACTCATGCCAACGATGCACATGGGCATATAGCTCCTGAATGACAGAGCCAAGATGGACACCGGCCATAATTTCTTCACGCGATTGGGGTGGAAATGTTCCTCCACTCCTCTCGACCAGACTTTCATATACTGGTACAATCCAAGCGGGGTTGTCCCAAAGAATTGTGATTTGTATGAGACATGACCCGCTACGCTGGAGAAATGTCCGCGCGTGCTCAAGAGCTGCAGCACCTTCACGGAAGGAGATTTCCAGCACAGTCCACATCGATGGAGTCTGGGATACGAGTGCGTGCCAATGCTCGCACACACGCGTAGCTTGCAAGAGCGCTGATCGAGGTGGAGGGTCATCCGTGATATTGTCGGCAAAAAGTCGATTTGCTAGCTCGAATCGCCACTCCTCATAATCACCATTTAATTCATCTGATTCATCTAATTCACTGGGTGCATCTCCCCAATCGTCCCAACGTCTGCCTATGATGGCATTTTCTTTCTGGAGATAATCATCCAAGGCAGCTTGGTCTTCCTCGCGCACCAGCTTGAATATCATAAGGAGGATGTCGTCCGAGAGCCGATCAATATGAGAGCTAACCATCTCGACTGTTGGATGAGTACCAAGGTAAGCATAGTCATGGTTAATACTTTCCAAGACTTACCAAGAGGTGAATCACTACCGTTGCAACAAATCGCCGACTCCTCAGTGGTAAACTTCCGTTCAGTTCCTTGTCGATGATAGGCCTCTAAGCTAGGAGTTAGAGTGGACACGTTCACGAAAACTTCACGGTGATGAGTGACCTGCTAGTATATGAAGAGGTCGTCTGGCTTGGAGGTATTGGGCAGGAAAGGGACTTGAAGAGAATAACTGAACGGTTCCAGAGAATGCTAAATTTCAGATAAGACTGTGTTGCACTGCGGCCATGTATGTAGTACAGATCTGACACAAGAATTTGAGGTAAGCTATTATTTTCGGCAAACCTCATGTAATCACCAAATAATGCGCAGCTACTAGCTACATCAATATCCCTTACCACAGGTTGTTTTCGCAATGCCCCGTGTACAACGTCAAGTCCATGAATAATCTTCAGAGCCCTCCCGGAAGTTCTCGTCAAGGCACGCACACCTGACCAGCTAAAACATACGCTCAACGGACCAAGTACAACCCTTCTTATGCCTCCCACCTCACGTTGCACATTGAACTCCTGAGGGCTTGGGGGACCAGTGCTTCTTTCTGTCGAGAGAGAATTTCTTGTAGCCCTTTCGCAACGGTAGGATGTTGATTTAAGAATGGAAACGTGGTGTCGTTGATTCCAGAAGCATAGATCCGCAGACATCGGCCTGTTTCGGGATGGCTTGGGTCCCTCTTCAGATACGTGGCGCTAAGTTGTGGGTCCGAGTCCACATTGAGGTCGAGAAGGAGAGTGATGTAGGGGAGATCTGATTGGCACTCGATCGAGTAATGCGTGCGTGTAGTATCGTACCCTGGATCTCCAATATTGCTAATCCTCCCCACTTTGTCGGAAATGAAAATTTGGGACATGCGTTTCAAATCGGGGCCAAGGCTGGGATCGTCAAAATATATGGGGATCATCTTGTCGACCAGCGGCTGCAGGGGGCAGCATTGCACCGCGCTTGTGCGATGCCAATGTCGCAAAGTCCACTCGTCAGGATCGCATCTAGCACTTTACAGCGATATCTTAGAAATGATCTCGCTTGAACAACGTTTAGAAGCTTACCTTGACTCCTCGAAATCACTGTCCGCAGGCGAGATGAACTCTTCCATAGATATCCAATGAGAAAAATTGATGTAGGCATGCTGAAAAACTGTCTTGGCCTCCTCTCCTGCCTCCGAGTCCGACCAGAATGCTGTGCCAAAAAGATATTCCAAGAACCCGACGATAGAGACCTTCTGGCAGTCTAGTAGTTCGGCGTGCTCACTCCCATTATAGAGTAGATGCTGAATCGCGGTTTCGGGGGGGTTTTGGCGGATAAAGAGATCCTTAGCAAGAAGCAGCAAAAGTCTGCTGGTCAACGAGTCTCCTCTCTGTCCGATTTCGACCATTCCACTATGAATCCTGTTCTCCAAGACATGCAAAGCATTAGGCAAATTGTCGGGTGATTGATGGAGTAATATTGCTGCGACACAAGACAGAAGGGGCTCGGATGGATAACCGGTATCACTCCAGAGCCCATTTTCGGTCGTTGAGAAGCATACACGCAAGTGACTAGCCACTGCTGTTTTGATGTAAGAAACAGTATCGCGATGACCAAAGCGGAAGTCGAGAGCGAATCTCTGAGCTAGTACTGCAAGAGCCTGATTGGTAGCCATAGAATCAAATGCTGTAGAGTCGCATAACTTCTGACCAGCCAACTTCAGAACCCCACCGTTTGGCATGAGTGATTTCCACCTATTTATGGTGGTCAACAAAGCTGAACACGAGCATAAAATAAAAAGACAAACAGTGGACGACCAAATCTAACAATATGGCAAAAATTTGCGACATCATTAGCTGGCATATCACCCAGAGGGGTCGCGAACTGATCCCAACCAAGTGCATGATAAGGTGGAAATGAAGAATTTCCAGATTGCACTATCCGCATGGAATTTTCTGCAATGTTGTGTGAATACTAGAGACTGCCAGGGACATGAAGCAGGTACTTACGAATCGCTTGAGGAGGTGGAAAATCAGCCACCTGTGAGGTCGTAGATGCAAAAACGACCCAGACTGGTGTGTTATCATGGGAGGAGTAGGAGTTAATCACACTGCAGAGAATACGCGATAGACGGATGCCATGACTGTTCAACTTGTTGAGAGGGTATGCCTCGTCAAATGCAATGACAATTTTTGGCTCGTCAAAGAGATACTTGTCCTTCCTCTCCTCTTCGTTCCTCTTCCTTTTCTCCCTCGCAGCAAATATGTGTGGCATAGCTTGCACCATGTCTCGGAAAGCTTGCTTAACGGAGGATTGGCGTGGTGATTTTAGAACCTGTTGTGTGACAACGTTCTCCAATTCAGTATCGTTCTGCCAGTGTCTGTCAAGCAATCATGATTGGCCGTGCTCACCATGTTATATTGAAAATCCACCATCTCAAAGAACTTGGTACGAGCCTCTGCGTGCATGTCACACATCTCGTCATTCCATGCATTGATTGCAGCATCAAGATCGCGAGAGTCCAGTGCAGGTATCTTGCTGCCCAGATCCCACCAGAGCACCTGGAATATGGCCGTAAAAAAGGCGTAACAACGAGCGGTGTACTCGGCTTCAGTACAGTCCGTTGTACATTCTGTCAATATGCGTGCAGGCACCGGGTCTCGGTTAGGGAAACCTATGTCACTTAGTTCGCGAAGGTTCATGTACAAAACGAGGACGCCTTTGTTCCGGAGCTAACTCGATAATTTTAGACACCTGATACATGCATGCACGTTATAATACTCACCTCGAGAATGAGTCTTGATTTTCCTGTTCCAGAACTCTGAACGATCGAACAGAACTTGCCGTAGTAAGACTTCGAGGATGTCCTGAACTCGATGTTGTTGTTTTTCAGGTACTCGTAAAAGCTGATCGCGGCTAGCCCAATGTAAGGACTGCTAAATGAATCGTAAAGAATTTCATCTGTGTCTAGGATACCATTAACGTGAGGTGAAAGAACTATGGATAAACGCTGCTGACCTCGAGGTAACTTGGGCGTCGGGGAGCTAGTGTCAGGCAAAGTTTGATCAAGTTCGTCATGTTGTGTCTGTGTGAGCGGTAGGGGTGCCACCACAGAAAGATCCTGCGACCCTGATTGTCCTGCCATGAGGGCGAGCTTATCGATTATGAGAGAAAACGAGGCTCGTCGTTATATAACATGCCGCGGAACCAACTTGCGTTATCGCCATGTCGGATCCAGAAACATAGTTGCCAAAAAAGGCCAAAAACGCTCGGCCATTTCAAAATGCCAATTCCGGCAGCGAGTCACCAGTCCCCAATTGCAACTCTGTCGTCCAACATAGCATCACGTGTCATCGTGGATGACATGGGGAAGGAATAACATGCTAGATATGTCTTGCACAATACCTTCGCATTCAAATCTAGCCCCTAGGCGTACGAAGTTGGCGGGCACACTACATGACCAACGGTGTGAACGCAAGTCTGAAAGCGATTGATGCGAGGTTGAGAAAGAATGAAGAACGAATGCATGATTGAACAGAAGACGCTCCAGACGATGGGTGAGCTCATCCAGGGAAAAGAAAAGCCAATGCTGGTGAAGGTCAGATATGCCTGAGGGAGGAGGAATCAAAGTGGGAAAAGAGGCTACTATCACCGGGGAGCGGCAGAGTGCAGCTGCAACATCAGAACCATAGCAAGGTGAACAGCAGCTGCTTGCGAGTCTGGAGGGAAGTGCTGGGTAGGTGCATCGGGAAACGCTGTGTAAGCATGTCATGAGACGAACTGACAAGCTCCGCCCGCAGGAATTCAAAATTGCAAGGACACTGTTTGCTTTCAGTCCTGCCTCATAACACTTACATCCAATGCGTTGGGGGCAGCATCACACAGGATGGGAGCTGTCAAACAGTTCAGGTTGCTTTTGTAGCACATAAGTGATGCAGAAAGCCATGGTAGATCACATGCAACAGCGGACAACACGGATACTTCGTCAGGGTAATACAACGGTTCATAAATCAATGGGTATGTGGGTGTCTCGTGTTCAACATCATGAGGCGGGCAATCATGCAAGCTAAGCGACATCCTGAGACAACGATTCAGCGAGAATAAAAGTCACAACCACGACGAGGCACGTACGTGGAACAGGGAGAAGACGGCCATAGCGAACGAGAGAAGAGAGACCAAGGTCTGTGTCGCAGGCAAACGTTGAGTCAGCAAATGCTAATGCCAAAACAAAAATGCACAATGATAATGCGAGAGGTAGGACGAACAAGAAGTTATATCTTTTGCAAGCCAAATGTATGGGCCACAAGCACAGCAGAGACCAAGCAGAGACAGCCTGTGAAGCTTGGGAAGACCCGAAAGAAATCGGAGAAGATATAATCGGAAATGGAAATTTGTTTCACGCGGGTGCAAAAATACTGTGTGCCTGGATAAAGAACCCTCCCTACATTAATATTTGCCCTACATACTTCCGAGTCGTCATCGATTCATCAGTGAACCGGTGAAGAAATGAGAAACGGATTTATGCCTATATATTCCCAAGAAGCAACATAATTCTGCCATCGATGATTATGTTGTTATTTTGGTAGGAGAAAAATTATATAATTCTATAACTATCATGGCTACAATATCGCGAACTCATGAATTCATTGATGGTAGAGTCGGGGAAGGAGGTACCTTCTCCAACTTGAATACTCGTCTCCTGATGCCGTTTCACCATTTACAAGCTCGAGTTCTCGAGTTTTCTTGCAATATTGACGGCACGAACGTTTGAGCTTTGTTAATACCACTGACAGTGCTTTGCGGAGCACTACTGCCAGCTCTTGGACCTTGGCGACTCCTTGCAAGTCCTAGTTAGGAACCATTCAGATATCAGCCCGAGTCACCCCATTCATACGTTCAATATGCTGAATCCTCGTACGTTTGTCACACTCGAGAGAAACCCGGGAACTTCGGCCGCACCACTGGCGATGTCTCGTGAGCAATTGACGTCAGGAATCGTAAAACCTCATCCTGTGGTTGTGCTGTAGTGTGCTGTGCGTGTTCAAAGAACCTTCTGTTCACTAGTGTGCACACCGAGGCAGTGTCGTGAAGTAGCACAGCAACAGGGCGATGTCTTGTTCTACTCGGAAAACATTGACGTGCTATATTATATATGACTGTGGATTTAAATTTCCAGAACGATGCACAGGTCCTTCATGCACTGCCCCTGCCCCCATCCCCATTTCCACTGCCTTGTGCGTAGAACCCCAAAATCCAGATGCGCTTGGTTCAGCTCATCGTGAAACCTGACACCCCATTGCTACCTCGTCAACTTCTGCAATGTTGACTTCTACTGTGTAGCGATCAGCGGTAGACCATTCAAGATGGATCAGGTGCCTCAGGCTTCGCGTCTATGGGGACGATGAACTCTGTATCAGACAGCATGACAACTCGGTTATCAGCAATGTCTGCGTCGTCGGCTGCTGCTAATGAGGGTGTGTTCAGGGATTTACTGCCATCAAGCACATGAAGCTCCACGTCTCCACTGTCAACGAAAGTGTTGACGATGCTGGGTGCCTCCGATTGAGAAGTGGGTGCAAAAGTGGTGAAGCTCGGTGAGCGAGAATAAAACTCCGTGCCTATGACTGCCGATGAGGCACGGGGGGAAGCACGAAATAGAGTTGGTTCGTGGTGCGCAGTATTTACAGACCGGGGAATGCCATCGTGAAATGTACGTGCCCACCAGTTGTGTAATATGAATGACATCATCAATATATGCCTGGAGTAGTGAATGCTGCGTCCAGCGGTTGCAGTCGAACGCATTGGCGTGGCTGTGTTGAGGATGGGCACAGAAGTGCCACGAACTGGGACTGCGCGAAGCGAGTTCAACGATGTAGGTCGGAAGCATGCTAAGGCAGAGAGTGATAGAAGGAGTGCAATGAATATCACTGTTGAGATGTGTTGTCAGTATCAGGAGGTACGAGAGTCACGGTCAAAGGAAACCGTGACGAAAAGCGTGGAGGCTTTGACAATAGTACTTGGAAGGAAACAGAGAACAGGTAACCGATTGATCCTATTCATCGCCAAGGGATTGAGGAACGCAAACTAACCGGTTATAATAATGACATCGATGATGGTATGACGATCCATGGACCCAGACTGGTAACTGCGGACGACGATATTCCCATCCCTGGGTGCTGGGAGTGACTTGATAGGCTGAGTATCAAAAGGAGCCATGCCAGACGATATGTACTACTAGTAGGTGAACGGGATGGAGGTGAAAGACAACTTGGAGTGGTAAAATCTAGGGACGTACTATGGTGATCTATATAAGTACATGGAAAAGCGCCCAGCTGTCCATTTCGGCGCCAAGTTGAGATTGTGGAAAGTAACCCAACCCAGCATAGCTTATACTACCCGGAACAAAGAGCCTTGAACTTTCGTCCAGTTGTAAATCCAGTAGGCTCTTACTCAATAGGCGAAAATCACTCATCCGAGTATTTCCGAGTAACTACGGCTACTGTCAGTGAATTCTGCGCAAGGACTCGCAAGGAAGAGGACCTTACTATGTTCAAGTATGTTACATATGGTCATGTGGTTGGTTCCTTAGTTGTGAGGACGCGCAACAGCCAAGCGAAATCTACATAGGATAATAAACCATAAAACAAGAAGAACAAACTAACGCACTGTGACCACTAGCCAACTAAGGTGAAACCTATCATTCGTGCGGGTTGACTTTGAGCCGACTGCGGATTTTACGATAAACACGAGGTGGCGTTGGCTTGGATCAGATACCTGGGTCCTTTTGCACCATTCCAGGATATTGACATAATACTATAGCCATCCGTTCGACGGGGCCCGCATTGCTTCTGGTGGGTGTAAAGTTGGGCTCAAGTGCCAGTGGATCCTTGGGTGCCGCGGTTCGTTTCGCGGCGACCAGAACGGAACAAGATTCTTGGCAGTGTTGATGTTAGTTGTGCGGACTTCTGCCTCAGGCCAGGGACAGTGGACACGTATTTGGCTCTTGCCGCAGGCTACCGTACAGTACTCGCACGTGGCTTCCGCTATTGCTCTGCCTTTTTCTAACAGGCCTCCTTGCAAGTATCATCATTTTTACTGCTTATACAAATAAACTTTCCAGGCGTTCACCACAAGCTCGCCATGCCATCATCAAGAATCTTGGCGTCTCCACCACATCAAACCCTCAATTTATCGGTATCTTCTGGCCAAGGTATCTGGCACAGACACTGCAGAGTCGGATTTTCCTTATCGTGTATCATTCCCGATTCTCTCAAGCATTGCATGCATGATGTTCACCCGCCAATTGCGCCAAGACCAGTCTTGTATTTTCAAGGCAATTCGTTATGACTCAAACCGTTGCGAACAGAGGCTAACTTCTGTGTCGTGCATGTGGTCCAGGATTCGGTTTCGACCTATCTTTCAGTGTAGACTTGGGGAGTGCGGTACGTTGATTTGTCTTTACGCACGGGAATGTTTGCGAGACTAAATATACTGCTACATAGGAGCAAGCTTCACAAGAAAAAATGTCAGGCAAACAATGTCACGAGTCCTCGCTCGTCTGAGATTATCGCTATTTGGCAATCGCAGACCCTTTGGCTTGATCCTCGTGGGACTGGTCTGAGCGCCTATGACGGCGGACATCTTCCAAACGAAGCAAATGGACGACGAGGCTTCATGCTCATCTGCTATCGTTATCTCTCTCACTTTTGAGGATGTCGATATCGTCGCCTCGCGCGATCTCTCTAGCAGATCTGCTTCGTTCTCTTCCATCTGCAGATAGAATCGTCAAGAGAAGAAATGAACATGAACCTTTTGCGACATCTGCTGTCTGGAGTTACGGTATTCACGCGGGAGCTGGACGGAGTGTTCCCAAGGCTTACAGGTTGATTTCTCAAGGATTTTGGATGTTCCCTCACTGCTTGGTTATATAGTTCGAGAAGTGTCAGGTTCTCTATCGTCGGCATTGTCTGCTGCGTCTCTTAAATATATTGTTCGTGCTGCAGGAGAACAAACTTCGCTCGCTTGCGCGAACGTTGCCGATCTGATTTGTTTACTGTCTTATTGATGCATATCGTCTTCGGGTGATGATGTCATATTCAAAGAATTGTTCTTCGGTTTTGAAACTCTATCTCATTCTTCATTGCATTCAACTGATGATATACAATTTCAATCGGCATGTTTGTGTCGTAGGTTCTTGGATCTCTGCGAGACCCCTTCGTTGCCTTTTTCGCATTCATAATATTCAGTATTCGATGAACGATAGTTTACGTGTTTCAGTGAGAAGAAACTACGATCATTAGGTAGCAGGCGCCCTTTGCCACGCATGTGGCCTTAGGCGACTTATTCTATACATCCTAACCAGCAGATGTGATACTATTGGTAATCATACGCACACCTCACTGAGGAATAAACCTCCATAGCCTACTTAAGAGTCCGTACAAGCCTCAAGTCCGTATGCTGTTTTGCGTCGGGAAAACGATCATTCGTGTACTTGGGCAGTTCCATTTTAGTTGGTGGTGGCATCAGTATACGGGGTTTGGGCAAACCCGATGCGGGAGCGGGAGGTATCGAATACGCAGTAGAACCGCTCGGCGAATGTGTAGCCATTAACAAAATCAAACCCTTTGCCACTGGGCGTACCAATATCGTTAACAATGAGATAGATGGCGTTGCTACTGCCACCAATGTACGTGTTGAGAATACGAGGCCAGATTTGGCCGTTAGGGGTGAGAGTGTATGTTTCCTGTGCAAATGGTAAACAAGGGATGTGAAGGCTGCCAGAAATGGCGTACGCTGCCAATATTGAAGTTCAGGTTCTCGAGTGCCGCGTACTGAGGAGCGGAAATGAGGAGAAGACCGGTCGGCGGATCCGGAGTACCACCGGTTAAAGACTGGTACTGGTTGAAAGCATCTAACTAACGTTGATTAGACAATGATCGCTCGCTGCACTCTAGATACACACCGCTAGCAATGAGAATATAAGTGGTGCCAACATCGACGATGCCAGTGGAGGACAAGATCGTTGTGGAGCCATAGGAGATGCTCTGGTCGATACCCCAATACCTCGATGAAGGCTGGGTGGTAGTGATAGGACTTAAATAAAACGATTACTATCAGCTTGGATTAATGTAGGAACTGAGGTAGCTTACGTGTACGTGATGGGACCGTGCTTGTTACGGACAGTTCCGCCGAAGGTGAGTTCTCCATTAACCACTTCCTTCGCTACAATGATGGGCTCGAAAGAGATACTAACAACCTCACGATGAATGGTGCCTCGGCTATGCAGGTTGTCAGTGACAGTCGGGATCGTCAACGCCGGTTCATCTGGCAGGGTACCCGCTGTCAAGTCTACAGGCCCTAGGCCAAGGATACCGTCAGCTCCGCCGAAGGTGCCCGAGTGAGAAGCAGCAACACCAAACGACTGTTGGGGGATAGTGAGCCCACTACCGAGAGTGACGGTGTCCAAGTACTCAAGTCCTGTAGATAATCATAAATATTTCCAACAGCGTATGATATCTTTGTATGCCATACCAGAGAAGTAGGCAGATCCGGTACCGTAGGAGACCGACACAGGCGTACCAGTGTAGATGCTGGTGCTTATCTCCACGTACGGTGTTTTGGCGCCAATCCATGTGTTCGCGGTACCGGTGTCGACAATCAAGTCGTCTTCGATAATACATCAGCAGCCGCATATTTTCTCAGTATTGGACTTACAAGTTGTAGGGGGGCTGCCAATCCCAACTGCTATGTAGTATCCAGTAACAACGTTACCAATGGGAACGCCGTGGCCACCGTGCTTCAAGGTGTGGCCCTTAAGCCTTAGGGCAGCCGCGCGAGCTCTATCCTGCTCCAAGAGGTTAATGGTACCATTGAGGGCACTTAGCCTCCTGGCAATCGGGAGGGTTATGGGGGAATTGCTGACTTCAACTGGCGATCCCGTGGTTGACAAAGCCAGGAAGATAATTGTCAACAAGGATGCAGCGGAGAACATGGCTGACTCGAGAGCAATATCATACTCGGTAGTCTATCATATATGCGCTGGCGAACGCAAATATTGGGCATCTTGCAATGGCCACGTATGAAACGTCTCCTCCCGAAAAAGCGATGACAAGATAGTGGTGATCCGAGTGTCACGAGCCACGAGTGCAAGGGTCCAACTTCCTGATAAAACTACACTGACAAGAAGTTGGTTTTCAGTTTAAAGTGGCAGGGATTTACAATTAGCCTGTTTATCCATGGTCTATCGGTTCATTGACTCACTCCACGTCCATTTCCATAGAGATACAGCTCAGAGGAACGTTAATGTCAGGTTGGTGTAGCAAGCGACGTTGCTGAGGAGAGCAGTTGTCCTTGGTTGTCTATCCATGGTCGAGCTGTTGAATTGACACTATGAGGTCATTTGCTAGATCGGTCCGAAGCCATAGAACAGAATAGGGATGCTCGAAGTTAGGTACACACCGCACACCGCACACCGCATAAGCATGCTTTACTTATGATATTAATGCTGGCTCGTTATTTATAGGATCCAGGTACGGCAGAAGCCAGAGGTACGGGCTCATGTATTTTGCCGCATCGCTGCCGCAACTTGCCGCATCACTACCGCACCACGGTACCGAAACATACATTCAACGCTCATTTCCGACAACTACTCTAATCATACACAAGATAATTGACTAAGTAGTAATACTCGTCAAACTCATCGACTATGCGCCTCTCGGACATGACTTTGAGAGGCCGAATTTAGAGGACGTGTTGGGCGTGTTGCGGCACGGATGCGGTAGTGGGCGCGGCAGCAGTGAGTCCTAGTAATATCGTACGAGACAATGACATTCAGACTCCTTGGTATACTCTAACAGCGAACGTTCGAACTCTCGTTGGCCGCAGGTGCTGCAGAGAATGAACAATGGGGAAAAGACGCTGGCACGCACCAAGACCAATGGAACCCATATGAGGGTTTCCCCGAGCACTGGAATCATGGTGACTGAGATCTGTATGCACCAGAATTTGAAGGAGAACTGGATGTGCGTAACTTTCATATTGACAGTGGAAGGCTGCATTAAAACAGCACCGACCAACAGTGTGAGCCGAACTTTAGTGAAGGAAGTGAGCGGCTGTGAGCCTGAAGTCATTAAGAAAGAGAAACGTACCAAAAAGCCTATACCACAGCCACGGCCAAGGAAGGTACATGGAAGTACTTGACATGCGCGAGGATGAACATGTTGTTGTGCGGCCGTTCTTCAAGTTGGTAGCCGTCTTTGAATTTCAGGCAGCTCGCGGCGTCGTGGTTGACTGGCGTGTAGTTGATTCCATCTGGCGGTGAAGACCAAGTGCCAGGCGAGACTTCAGGGGTGCATGAATTGCTGAGAACAATGCACACCATGGACAAAGCTGCAGGTATATGTACTTGGTAAGAAGGATCATCGTGTTGGTGCGGTGCGGTAGTGCACAGCCACAAATCTCAGAATTGCCGCACCCCACAGCCACACAATCTCAGAATTGCCGCGTCCCACAGCCACAAAATCTCAGAATTGCCGCACCCTACCGCGTCACTACCGCACCCATATTCACTATGACACCACGATAATTCTTATACAAAAACATGTACTATGGTATTTCTCAATCATAAATCATATTTAAGACCTTTGTGGATGACATAGACATATTATATACGCATATAAGACACTTGTTGTGTAGGGTGCGGCACGGATGCGGTACGATGCGGCAAAATCCTAAGGCCCCAGAGGTACCGTCTACTAAAGGCAATTTTACGGTTTGACAAACTTTCAGCCAGCATATACTGCATTTCTACTTTGATGAGCTTCGAGATGTCATTTGGGATACATCGTTCATAATACAGTTTAATACAGTCTTCCTGAAAATGAAAGAATTGATGTGTTGATTTGTGCCGTTCAATCATCTACGAGTTCGAGAAGCTCGTCCCGCTTCCCAATAAGGTCGTTGACATCACTGTACCCGCAGAGACCCATCGTAATATGCATGTCAGTCACGGTTTGCATCAAAATCTGCTCGACTCCTGCCTGTCCGGCAGTGGCAAGTCCGTACATATATGGGCGAGCAACTAGTATTCTTTAATAAGAAATTACCACTGCAGAAAATTATAACACGTACTGAGGACTCCCTGTGCACCCATTGCCATGGCCTTGATGACATCACTGCCTGTGCGAATACCAGAGTCGAAGAGGATCGTCAGGTCACCTTTCGCCTGCGCTTGGATAATCTTCTGCGAGCGCATGATCTTGGCTAATGCATCCAAGGAGCCAATGGCACCGTCGACTTGCCGTCCGCCGTGATTGGATACAATGATACCGTGAATGCCCATATCAATAGCTTTCTCCGCATCCTGTTGCGAGCGTTGTCATAAGTCATCGTGGAACTAAAAGACATCAACTTACGGATGTCCGTTGAATCCCCTTCAGAATGATGGGTCCATCCCAGTGATCTTTGATAAATTGTAGATCCTCCCAGGACCTGAAAGAGCCCGAGTTGGTTTGTCCGAGCCACTCCTTGCCCAGTTTCATTACTTTCTGGGCATTCACATCACCTTCTTTCAACGCCGCGTCTCTAATCTTCTCTGGCTCGAAAGGGAACTTGGTGGTCTCGTGCACAGGTTCGTACCCGTGGCTCTTCATGAACACGGGGTCAGACAAGCCAACCTGGATACCAACGCCATAAAAGAAGGGTATGTAAGCAGTGTCAAGGTCGTGTGGACGCCAACCCAAGAGCATGGTGTCGAGCGTGATCACGAGTGCAGAGAAGCCTGCAGCTTTGGCACGGTTAAGAAGGGATATTGTTATCTCGTCCGTGCGCGGCCTGAGGTGTTCGCAGTCGAGTTATGATAAGTGGAATGAATAGTGATGCAAGATTGAACATACCAGTAGAGCTGATACCACCGCTGACCATTTGGCCCATTTGCATTTGCGACATCCTCGATTGACCGGGATGATGCTGAGCTCATGATGTAAGAGCTAGTTCGGCAACTCGATATTTTCGATATTTTTCAATATTTGCTTTGGCATGTTTGCGAAAATGTTCACCGGCATCGTTCCGAGATGTCGGAGCTCGAACCTTGCTTCTCTCCTACTGTACATATTATCAATGGATGTATACCCTCATCTAACCCTAGAGCGGCGTAAGAGGCTTTTTGCTGGTGCGGTCGCGATCACTGCGATCTGTGCACAGTACACTACTCTTCTCATGGCCCAACCTGAAGTCAATGCTCCCCCTAAGTCCAAGGCGATTCGGAGCTTGAATTTGAGCTTATCAACAAGATCAGTGATAATGAGGGTAGGGTATATACCTTGATGGATCCCCAACCACTGGGGTTCGCGATGGAGCGCCAACGCCTAGCAGCGCTCATGACGAATCCTCGGCCAGAGGTCCGGGAACGACTCCTCAAATGCATGGTACTCGTAATCAGCATCGTTGTTGCTTCTACGCACGGCATCCTACAATCAATATATCCCAAAGATCCCGAGCCCTATCACACTTCAGCGCTAACTGGGCAAGACTGGGTGATCGAGTTGCTCACTGGTCACCCAGAGCGCATCAGGTGTGAGCTTGGCATGCGCGCCAATGCATTTGTGGAGCTTATCTCCGAGCTTCGCACCATGGGCCATTCAGACTCCAAGTTTGTGTCCCTCGAGGAACAACTTGCGATTTTTCTTTACACCTCTGTGACTGGCCTATCAATCAGGCATGTTGCGGAGAGATTTCAACGCTCGAACGAAACGATTTCACGGTGAGTTTATTTTATTTTATTTCAAGTGACAGTATCTAATAGTATGTAGTTATTTCCGCAAGATGCTTATCATCTTCACGTCGGACCCGTTCTATTCAAGATACGTGCGCTTTCCAGATGGTTCGGTCCCCCGCAAAATTCGGAAGAACCCCAAATGGTGGCCCTTTTTCAAGGACGCTATTGGGGCGATCGACGGCAGTCACATCCACGTCACGCCTAAGGCCATCGAACGTCCGGTGTATCGTAATCGCAAGGGCTTCGAGTGGAGCTAGTGATGGACGTAGAGGTGGCGGCAGTGCTTAATGGGCCTGCAGAAGCGGGAACAGCAGCAGCGCTTGGAGCAGCAGGAACAGCAGCAGCGCTTGGAGCAGCAGGAACAGCAGCAGTGCTTGATGGGCCAGCAGCATCCGCAAGATCGTTATCAGCATTGGTGGTGGAGGGAGCAGCGCCACCTGGACGGAAGACGTGCCGCCCTCTAGCGCCGCCCAATGGGATGATGGTCTGCATTTTTTCATAATGCTCCCATCCCCTGTTGCGGAAAGGACGCATGAGGTTATTTGCCTGACAAAAGTCAGCGCTCAAATCAATATGACGAAGAGGGGACATACCTTGACATACGATGTCCATACAGCCGCAGCCGCAGTTCCTTCAATCCCAGCTCCAGTCTCATTGTCCCAGTGGACCCCTGTCTGGTTGCGGTACTTCTCGATAGCATGAAATATGTTTTTAAGCTAGATGAGACTCGTCAGCTTAGATCAGATGAGATCAAATAGGGCTTACTGATGTCCACTTGTTTCGAGTTGATTTCGCTGTCTTCAGTGGACCTGCGCGAGTGGATTGAAGCGCCTCATGATTGTTGATGAACTCTGCAGCAGAGCCAAGAACCTGCTGCTTGAAGTTGCCTGCCCCTTCAGCCTCTGAGCGATGATCATAGAGATAGTCTACAAGGGTAACAGTCTCGACATCATTCCACTGCGCTGGTGGGGCCTTGGAGTGAGGGGGAGCATTGACTTCAGGTTGGGCCATGAGAAGAGTAGTGTACTGTGCACAGATCGCAGTGATCGCGACCGCACCAGCAAAAAGCCTCTTACGCCGCTCTAGGGTTAGATGAGGGTATACATCCATTGATAATATGTACAGTAGGAGAGAAGCAAGGTTCGAGCTCCGACATCTCGGAACGATGCCGGTGAACATTTTCGCAAACATGCCAAAGCAAATATTGAAAAATATCGAAAATATCGAGTTGCCGAACTAGCTCTAAGGAATCCCGCAGGCGGCGGCAGCCCTTGCAGTCGCGAGTTCACCGTCTGCATGCAAGATACCCTGTACACCTATGGGTGCGATGAAAAGAGGTGCGTGGAACTTTTGTCCAAAGATCGTTGTCTACCCAGATACAGAAATACATTAGACAGGGGTATCACGCGCTCATAAATACTCACTTCGACATTTCGGTTAGTGCAGTCCCTGAGCATTGCAGGAACGATTTTCCACCGGTTGAACGCGCGCCTATTTGTGGCGTCTGTCGAGCACGTTCCCGCACTCCCAAATGTGTACATGTATGCCGCTAGCACCCTCGTTCGAATCAAGAGTTGAGACTTGAGCGAATGATAATACTCACGGAGATGGTCTTTCATCACCTCCCGGGCTGTGTCCTCTATCTCTTTCACTGCGAAAGAGCCCAGAACAGGTGGTTTTGCATGTCCATAGATATCACCAAAGTATTTCATCCATTGAGTTGATTGCACAGGAGCAGCCGACATGGTAGAGAGGTGATGGAGAGTCTGGGAAGGCGACAGTGGTCAGTATGACTTATTTAAGACAGCTTCAACCACTAACATCTACCCGATAAGCTGATGTAGCTAGAGAACGTGATAGGGATTGAAGCATTCGATTCTAACCGGTGACAGAAGTTATCGGCTGCCGATTCAGACACATGATTTCCCCTTACGAGAATATCATGTTTATATATCCGGAGCGGGCCCGTTCTTCCGCTTGCCACGGGCACTAGAGGCTGATTCGGGGAACGTTCAGCTGGCTTCAGGGAATCAGGGTTCGCCAACAGATGTCCACGTAACAACTACCATTCACCGTGAGATCCAAGCTGACCTAGATAGGATGTAGTGTCGACTTATAGCCGTCGAGTAGAGCGCTTGATCGAAGCCGGGATAGCTCAGCTGGGAGAGCAACAGACTGAAGTGTGATGTTTTCTGGAGGTCCCGTGTTCAATCCACGGTCCTGGCATCTCTTTTTGCTTTACTTTGGCGACAAGCACGATGGGACTATGGACTAGTCAGGATAAAATGACAAAAGCTAAACTTATGCAATCTCGGAGAAGGAGAGCCTCACTATTAGGCCATGACTCAGCCGCTGAACATGTTTCCAATCAAGTTTGGCTCTATTGAATTCTAAAGCTCTTGTCAAATACATATAAACAACACTATGAAAATCTTGTGAGATTCACGACCGTTACCGACCACGCTGCTGCCAGTCATCACGTCCTCCTTCTCAATTCTTAGAAGTTGCGGGCACGAGGATATACTCTCTGACTGCAGAATACATTATCAAGCTTATTTTCCTCTTCGATGGCATCTTCCCTGAGCACAAGACGCTTAATAATCCTGGATGGTATGCTTTACCGTCGGTTTCGTTTACAAATGCTGCTTACTATGCTGATACGTTTGCAGTTGCTCTATTCCTAGCTTCACAGGTGATTATTCGATTTGTCAATCATTTTGCTCCCGAGAGCTGAGGATCTGCGTTAGGCAGCAGTTTACTGTGCTATTCGCGTGCGTCTCCGCAATGGAAATTTCTGGGAAGCATAGTTAACATGCTTGTAGTGGTACTTCAAGCGGAGTGACGACCGGACAACAAAGAGTGCTGAAGCAATCAAGAAGATTATCGGGCAAAAGAACCTCAAGCTAGACGAGTATGAGAGTGCGTGTGACTCTTCGGCTGCGCGCCACTTCCTGCTGACCTCTGGAACTTCTTGCAGGAGCGATATCAAAGGAGGTTGTTCACCCAGACGAAATTACCGTCCGATTTAACGGTTTGTCCCCCGTCTTCTTTAAATGAATCTCCAATGCCAACCAAGATTTCTCAGACATCGGGGGTCTGGAATCAATCGTATCGTCTCTCCGCGAAACCATAATTTATCCTTTGATCCATCCCGCTCTTTTCACCTCAGCGTCTCCCCTCCTCGGGGCCCCAAAAGGTGTTCTACTCTACGGACCTCCGGGATGTGGGAAGACTATGCTCGCTCGTGCGCTGGCCAAAGAATCAGGCGCAACATTCATTAACGTTCCCGCATCAACACTCACAAATAAGTGGTTTGGTGAATCCAACAAGCTAGTCGCAGGTCTGTTCAGCCTCGCCCGGAAGGTCCAACCTGCGATCATATTTGTCGATGAGATCGATTCCTTCCTGAGGGAACGCCGCGGAGATGACCACGAGGTCATGGGTATGATGAAGGCAGAGTTCATGACGTGAGCGATGCCTTTTCAGCTCGAACCTTGGCTGATCTTGGATACTTAGTTCTTGGGATGGCTTGACATCGGGGTCTGACAGGATACTAGTGCTCGGCGCGACAAACAGACCAGGTGACATCGACCCTGCAATTCTGCGACGCATGCCGAAGCGGTTCGCTGTGGCTCTTCCAGATGCAGAACAGAGATTCAAAATTCTGTCCCTAGTACGTATCTATATCACCGATGGACAATTACTCGCTCTGAACTCCATTAGATGCTCAAGGACACGAAACTGGATCCTCAGCTTTCCCTGCGCCTCCTTGCTTCTCAGACAACCGGATTCTCTGGTTCTGATTTGCGCGAATTATGCCGCAACGCTGCGATGGTCCCAGTGAGGGAATGTATGCGCGCCATGGAGCACGACGAAGAAGCGTTGATGAAGGTTGAGAAAGAGGTACGCTTTTTCAGATGTCATCCGTGGATCTCATCGACTGAACATACAAGGGCTTCAACATGCGTTCGCTCACCCTCACCGATTTCTACGACGCGGAGGGATCGACGCTCCAACCACCCGATCCAGAGGATGAACCCATATCATTGCAAGCATTCATCGACACACATCCAGAGCTGAGTATGCAGACAGACAAGGATCTTGCAACAAAGGAAGTTTTGGTTATCGAGGAAGTTTCCGAGTACGAGAGTGATAACGAGTCAAGACTCCAAACCGATGACGAATCGACGGTACTTGGCGGCGACGATGCATCGGCACTGAAAGATGAGAACAATGGCAACTCATGATATCTATCCCATTTATTACGTCTCGTTTCATGGACTGCATTATCGAGTAGCACTGATTATCATCATATAGAGTAGACATAGCTGATCATCTCCACTTTGAGAAAATCGATACAAGAGAAACAATCTGGTTGGATATTGTAGGATTACCTTCATCATGCAGGCTATTGCCGCAGGACGGCATGCATGCTATATAATCTCCTGAGGGGCCCAACCTCCAAACAAAGTGAAGAGTTTTGGGGCGGCGCAGAACATCGCTATTATCGGTATCAACCGCCGTCCCATGTTCTCGTCCTCCAGGTGCTCGGGTTCTTACGTCAAGTTACCTCCCTTACCATTGGTTACCAGGAACAAGAAGAATCCACGACCTCCAGGTCTTAGGTATGTTTTTGTGTATTGTGTTAGCAGATATGCTCACAAAGAGGTCCGCACGTAAGCCGCAACAGTGCTTAGGGTAGAAGCAGGGTAGGCCCAAAGGCGATACGTTCAGGTTGTCGGATGCGATAGCTACGCCAGCCATTGCTGTGATGATCATGGTGGTGAATGAGGTGAATATCATCGCTAAAATCTGACAATGCCCTATGAGTCGAAACCTACGTTGGCTTCTATACGCAGGTAGCGCAAGGGCAGCCAGTCTGCATGTGCCTGCATCGCTGATAAAACAGACGCATGTTAGTGCCATTGGGCAGAACTCGGGGAGTTTTGCCAACCAGTTTGGCAAAACTGGTTATGTGTCGCGGCGTGCTTTCCGCCCATAGTTCGCAACGTATCTAGAGAGCACTTTTGATAAGCAGTTCGATAGCGCATATAATGATATAAATATGCTAATATAAATTTTTCTGAGCCCAGAATAGACGAGAAGTGTCTCGTCGATCGTATATACTGCATATGCGACATATCGATCCGTTCGTCATCGGAGGTCGAGAACAATGCAGGCAGCTGGATGGTACACGGTCAAGACAAGGAAGATGTAGTGACAAAGGCATAGACGTAGTCATCAAAGAGGTCATGTTGAGGCCATTCGCATCGAGGCGGCATAAGAGGGCTCGGTGTCTCTCTCCACTCCCATGTTCCTTCCGGCATATGATCGAACTCGGTACCGTCAGCGTTGCGCACCACGCCATCTACATCTTCTAAATCCGGCCCGAACGTAAATGCAACGCTGCAGCGGTTATGCGCTGGAGTCTCGTAGGTCGATGCTAAAGAGCATCGAAGTAGCCAGCCATATCTCTGTCTCCGCTCCTTGTATTAGTTGTCCTGTGAAAATTTGAATTCATGGTCTTATGTAATTAACAATTGTTTGTTGTTGTGTGGTACGCATATTCGGCAACTTATGCCATTATGGCGACGCCGCTTGTCAACACTTGTCAGACCATACTTAGGTTGAAGCGTGGTGCGCGTGACGCCCTAGGCTGGAATATCGGATCTTTCGGCTACTAGGTGGTCTTTCCGAAGTCCAATCCATCGTGACAGTTATCTGGTGACTTCTAGCTCCTGGAGTCAGACCTTGAAAGAAGAAGGCAAACGTTCTTTTTTTCACAGCTGTCTGAAGATCTGCCTTCATGTTCATTAGACGTCCAACATATGTCTACACACGGTGATCATGGAACAGAAGAATATCAACATTCATCTGCGTCTCGCGAACTTTTGATCCTCTACGCTACGGAAACAGGTACAGCTCAAGAGACTGCTGATCGCATTGCGAGGGAATGTCGAAGAGTCCATTTTCACTGTCGTGTGCAGAGCATGGATGCGTATCCACCAGTACGCGGCTTCCTAATCGTTGTAACATGATATTCAGGTCCTGTGCAGGAAACATTGATTTCGGAACACTTGGTCATCTTCGTGGTTTCGACCACTGGCTGGGGAGCTGAACCCAGAGCCATGAGTTCATTATGGAACATGCTGTTGAGGTCCGATCTCCCAAATGATCTATTTGAGGACATGGATTTCTGCGTGTTCGGCCTTGGAGACACGGCCTATGAAAAATTTTGTTGGCCGGCGAAGAAGTTATCGAGAAGGATGCAGAGTTTGGGAGGGTATGAAATTTGCTCACGAGGAGAAGGAGACGAACAGCATCGCATGGGGTGTGTATTCTTTGTTTACTATGTTTCGCGTGGCTGATCAAAGTGCAGGGTAGACGGTGCATTGGACCCATGGATTGAATATCTCCTAGAAGTTCTCATACAGCTCTACCCACTACCGCACGAGCAAGATAATATTCCTGCTGGTCGACCACCCCCTCGCGTATCCTTGAGCAATGTGGGATCCGATACGTCGCTGAATCCAGATCCTCTAGATGAGGACACGAAGTTTCATACAGCTTCGGTGAAATGTAACAAAAGGATCACTGCGGAAGATTGGTTTCAGGATGTACGCCATTTCGAGTTCTCCTTCGAAGATGATATAAAGTACGAGTCTTTGCCTTTGGAATTTGCAGCTACTGATGGGAAAACTCAGATATAATCCTGGAGATGTTGCTGTGATCCATCCGTCTGCACCTGCATCAGAAGTCGACTCTTTCCTTGTCACCATGGGCTGGGCAAATGTTGCCGATAATTTCTTCACAGTTGAACATACAATGTTAGGTACGACAAACCAGGACCCAGTAAACTTCATCTGATATCTTACAGATCAAACGTTGCCCGACCATCTGCCGAAATTTGTTTCCCTTCGAATCCTATTCACACGCTATCTCAACTTCAATGCTGTGCCCCGTCGCTCTTTTTTCCAACTGCTGCGATATTTTGCTGTCGATGAGCTCGAACGCGAAAAACTTGATGAATTTGTATCGATAGAAGGAGCGGTACGTCGAGTTTCCTCGGTTTTCTACCTTTTATTGAGGACGTGCAGGACGAAATGTATGATTATTGTCAACGCGTGAAACGTACGATCTGGGAAGTGTTGTCCGAGTTCCGGTCCGCAAGGATACCGAGAGAGTATGTCTTTGACTTGTTCCCTCCGCTGAGACCGAGAGAGTTCTCAATTGCTAGTTCCATCGAGGTGAGCTCGAGTTAGAATGCGTTCACTGCAGTTCGATTCACCTCTGGGTTTCATCAGTTCCATCCCCGTGAAATCCATCTCTGTGTTGCTATAGTGCGCTATCGTACAAAGTTGAAAATTCATCGGAAAGGCGTCTGTACTAGTTATCTATCAGGGCTCAAATTAGGTCCGCATGGCGTTCTAGCGTAGTTGCTGAACTCATATCATCTCCAGGAGATACTCTTCGTATCGGTCTCAGAAAGGGCTTCATTTCACTTCCTACGGATCCAAACACACCGGTGGTGTGTGTGGGTCCTGGGACAGGCATCGCACCCATGCGTGCCGTCATTGAACAACGCATACACAAGGGACACACTAGTATGTTTGGCTGTCTTTATATCAGCTCAGAGTTGATCCTTGATGACCCCAGATACTACCTTATACTTCGGTTGCCGTTCTGCACACAAGGATCAGCATTATCACACGGAATGGGAATCTCATGCGGAAGAACGAAAACTTCGCTACCGCGTTGCGTGCTCTCGTGATGGACCAGAGGGCGTCAAACGGACGTATGTACAAGATCTGATGAAAGAGGATGCACAGTATATTTGGACAATGCTGGGGCAGCAACAAGGCATCCTAATCATTTCAGGGTGGGTCCAGATTATATGTAACACGTGGTGAACTCTAAGCCTTTATGATAGTTCTTCGAACAAAATGCCCACTGCCGTCCGTGAAGCTGTGCGAGGTGCAGTGGAGAGGTTCGGAGGAAGGTCGAATGCTGAGGCTGTGGAGTATGTTGCTGCGATGGAGAGGGAGGGAAGGTTAATTGAGGAATGTTGGAGCTGAGAATATCCAAAACTAGTGAGCATCAAATCGTGAAGAAGACGATACATTTTGATAAGCAGATTTCGCAATTTACGTTGGTTGCATCAACCTTCGGGCTAGCCTGCAATCATTCAAATCTGCAAAACCACTGAAATGAACGCTTGTATGATCCCACGAATTGGATATCTTCGGATGTGGATAGCTGCAGACACTCTTCTGGCGCAATGAATTCATCATATTGAAATCATTTCGAAACAAGTATTGATTACAAACTAACAGCAATACATACACACTTGGTGAGAAAGCCATCCTTATGTTGTACTTGTGAATGGCATTTGATCGGGCAGGTTCGCCACACTTCAATAGGTTTTCGGCGAGCGACGGTGTAATCAGTGACGGAAAAGGAAACAAAGATAAGATGTGAGGTGATGTTGAGGTATAAAAACGCGCATGAGAATTTCCATTATAGAACGTTCCTTGCTTTTGTTCTTGCCTTTTTGAATCGACCTGGGTAAATAGAGAATGGCTGAAGTCGTGTCGCCCGCAGGAATCCTCCCTCACATACCTGACGACCTCACACTTGCGCAGTTCATATTGGATGCAGAACATGTCAGGAAGCCCGTTCGTAAGAATGATGCCTGGATTATTGATGACCAGAGTGGGAGAAAGATCGGACTTGAGGAGGTGAGTGTAGTCAGCAATTATTTGCTGGGTAATGTGCAAAAATTGATTTGGGGTTAACGTTATCTGCTGTTCCGGTTGATGGTTGCCACGGCTAATCGTATACCTCACAGCTCAGAACTCGGACGTATGGTCTGGCTAATGCGTTGAGTATCCGCTACAACATCCGTTCGTTCTTTACGTTTCCATAATACTGACCTGTGTATACTGACTCCTCTGGCTCCGCATAGAGGAGGACGATGTTGGTAATGACACTATAATTCAAGCACTTGCAAGTATTGATGATTCCCTCATTCTGCGCGCCTGGTAGTGTTGATCTACAGTCCAAATCATACTGGTATGCGAGCTAGCTTCGCCACACGCAGTGTATGTCTGGTCTGACAGTATGAATTCTGTAGATTACCTCGTGGCTGCTTGGGCGGCTCACAGACTTGGTGCTGCCGTATCGTATGCTCAACTCCTCTAAGTCGCCTAAAACATCCTGAAACACGCCCACAAGCGGTGCCAACCCGCTATTCACAGTCGACGAACTTGTATATCAAATCAATACAGTAAAAGCAGCCGTCATTATCACGCACCCGGACTCGCTCAAAGTAGCCCTGTCGTCTGCACATGCCGCTGGTGTATCCACGGATCGCATCATTCTTTTTGACGTCGAGGGTGCGGATACCGCGCAGAAATTGACTGTGCAAGCTTTGGTTTCGCAAGGTCTTGCGAGTGTTCAAAACTTCACGGAACGGAAACTTGCTCCTGGTGAAGGGAAAACTAAGGTGGCCTTTCTGAATTTTTCCAGCGGGACCACTGGTCGCCCGAAGGTGAGCACGTATTCCGTAAGAACCTGCAAGTGGATAAAACATGCACATTCTATGCATTAGGCCGTTGCAATTCCCCACTACTCACCGATTGCAAATATCATTCAGCTTGCCACGCACCACAAAGTCGGCGAGGAATATGCTGGTCAAAGATTTGAACCTGGTGACATATGCTGTGGCGGTGCGTGCGTTACTATCCATCTGAAGAGCTCGGCTTGATTGACTGTGCAGTGCTTCCTTTATATCGTGAGCCATTACCGTTCTTGCAACGTCGTTATGTTGTTTTGAAAATGGGTATTTCCAGATATCTATGGATTGGTGTTCAATGTACGAGCTCAGTTCATTTGGTTGTTGCATTGCTGAATATCTTGTAGGTCCATTATATCTTTTTCTGCGGAGTGCGTCGATATGCTTCTGAGTCTGTACTTGCGTATTGACTGAAGCACATCCAGATGACGCTTGTCTTAACAGCGAAATATAACTTTCTGGACTTTTTAAAGAATATAATCAGGCACCGCATTACTCATCTTGTGTATGTCGTCCTCGAGCTTTCTTTGACTTCACCTGAGCATGACTTTAGGTTGGTCCCCCCGCAAATTGTACTACTATGCAAGGTCGGCGAGTCGTAATCCCGGAATGATTAGGTGTCTCACCTATCTGCGTTTGCCATTCAGCACCCAGCTGTCAAGAGTTACGATTTTAGTCATGTTCGATACATCAACTCGGGCGCTGCACCCCTGTCTCGTGAGGTAATGGAGCAACTTGCTCAGATATTCCCGAATGCCGCACTTGGGCAGAGCTATGGTTAGTCCACCTCTGAATGATGTGTGTCCACGTCTCATTTCAGCGGCCATAGGCCTTACCGAATCAGGGCCTGTTATAAGCAGTTGGGCACTAGATAAGAAATCTGACTTGAGTGGTGGCACCGGCCAACTCCTTCCCGGTATTATCGGTCGCGTGGAGAAACCCGATGGCACTCTTGCCGACTTTGACGAACCTGGAGAACTTGTCGTAAAGACGCAGGCGCTTGCGCTTGGTTATGCAAACAACCTAGAAGCGTATGAAATCATCTTCCTTATGCTACTCACGTATTAACCGTGATGTAATCAGAACGAAGGAAACCTTTGTAAACGGGTGAGTAGGTAGGCCTTCAATTTACTGATGACTGACGATTCGCTTCCAGATGGCTCCGTACCGGTGATGAGGTGATGATGAACCGCAAGGGCGAAATCGTAGTCCTTGACCGGTTAAAGGTTGGGTGACTGACCTTAGACTGTTGTCTCACCTGACCGAGTACCCCTACAGGAAATGTTGAAGGTCCGTGGATTCCAGGTCGCACCTGCCGAACTCGAAGGGTGCATTCTAGACCACCCCGACGTGACTGATACGTGCGTGGTTGGAATACAAGATGAATATAGTGGTGAATTACCACTGGCATTCGTTGTTCTCCGCCCTGAGGCCGTCAAACGTGTCGAAGAAAGTCCTCCAGCTGCGGAGGAGATCAAGGCGTCTATTATGAAGGTAAGCGCTTCGAATCACCAGAGAACGTGTGGCGCTTATATTCCAACTTTACAGCACGTTGCTGATAACAAAGTTGGCTACAAGAAGCTCGCTGGAGGTGTCGAGATCATTGATGTTATCCCGAAGAACCCTAGCGGTAAACTTTTGAGGAGGGTGCTAAGAGACAAGGCCAGGGAGATGCGGATGAAACCCAAAGCGAAGCTGTGATATGGTGGTCCTGGTTGTGAGTCCTCTGTACACTGAATTATACCATTGTTTGTCATTCTTTCGTCGATAGGTCCTCCTACAGTCGCGCACTCTTCAGTACACCATATGTATGATACTGAATGATACTGAACCTTCCGACATTCATAGAATTGTTGATTCAACACAGGAAGAGGGGTCGTTTTCTAGTCTAGAATACATTAGCGGTCCTCAAAGTTAAAATCGTAGAAATTTCAAGAGGTAAGAAATTTGCGACTTGCCGATAATTAGAACTCCGACGATGACAAATCAAGCTCATATCTTACCACCGCCCATCATCATCGTACCTTACCGTGACCATCATATTGATAACGTTCTGCAACGACATCGGAAGATGCCTCGAGAATTGGATCGCAAAAAACTACTTCGTAGTCTGAAGCAAACAACAAATGACCTTACGATTGCGCGATACATGGAGTTGATTGAATTTATGGTGGATCAGCTCCTCGAGGAGGGCTCTGACAATAGCTCTGATAAGGGATCGGATGGTGATAGTGGGTCAGATGTCAGCATACGGACCGCATCGCCAACTTGGCCTGAGTCCCCGACGTCATCCGTCATATCCACGTTGTCCATCAGCTCTCTAGTAACCTCGCTTTCAACAGCATATTCTGATGTCCTATCACTCGATATCCCAGACATGTGCGATCAAGTGTTTATGCACTTTATTGATGCGATCGGGGCACTGCATGATGAAGTGGAGAAGTGTCGGGTACTTGACGTGCGTCCATCTCTGACTCGCGCACCGCAGTTACACCTGCTGCAAGAATGGGCGCTGCTCTCACCTGAAAAGTTTCGCCGCAAGCTTCGCGTTGATGCAGAGGTATTCAACAAACTCACAACATTAATCCAAGCCCACCCCATTTTCCATAATAACTCGAATAATCCACAACTTCCTGTCGCCGTCCAGCTCGTGATCTTTCTCAATGGTGTTGGCCATTATGGCAATGCTGCGACTACTGAAGACATATCCGATTGGGCTGGAGTGTCCGTAGGGACCATCTACAACTGCTACAAGCGAGTCATGATCGCGATCTTGCAACTGCATGATCGCGCCATACATTTTGATCCGCTCGATCGTGAGGACCAGATTGAGCGAGAGCGGGCAAAAGCGTACGTGGAGCAGAAGACATGTCGTGAGTGGCGCGGCGGTTTCCTTTGTGTAGATGGGACTCCGTCCCCTCTACACAAGAAGCCCGGTTGGCACGGCGAAGGGTTCTTTGACAAGAACTCTTGACTACTCTCTAACAGCCCAGGTAAGTATCTACTATCGGCTCAGTGTGCAGCGCAGCGACTTACAATCCAAAAGGTCGTCATATTCCCTCATAATCTGCATATCGTTGACTACGTCATTGGCGTACCCGGGAGTCTTCACGACTCGAACGTATTTGCACGAACGAGGGTCTCCCGGCATCCCAAGTCGTTTTTTGGTGCGGGAGAGTGGTTGTGGGCGGACTCGGCGTATGCTGCGCGAATTTGGTGTGTGCCGCCGTACAAACGGCCAGCGGGAGGGTCTTTGACGGCCGAGCAAAGGACATTCAATTATAACCTGTCAACAGTGAGCATCAGTACTAATATACTTTTGTCGTCCTCACCCAGTGTCTAGGTCCGCGTTCGTTCAGAGCACTTCTTCGGCTCTATCAAGGGCCGGTTCCAATCACTGCGGGAGCTTCGCATCCCAATCCAAAGCCAGAAGGACCTCGACTACGCGAACATGTGGATCCGTTCGTGCTTCATTCTGCACAACTTAATTGTTGAAATTGAGGAAACAGAAAACCGCGAAGACTCAAACATATGCTTCTATCAGCAAACTCGGAGATTGAGGCGAGCTGACGGTGACGGAGGAGAGGATGATCAGCAACAGGGTGGCGCAGTAGGTGATCAGACTTACATTGGAACTGTGGGGCAGGATTTTCGTAACACGTTAAAGACGCGGTTGCTTTCGTCGTTGGAGCGAAGGTAGTTAGTATTATATTAAATGTACTTGTACCTATACATATTCCTTTTGGCTCGCAAGGTCACGCTTGAGATTTTCTCGAGAAAGGAGCGTTTTAGCGAGCTCTAGGAGGGGTCAGTAGCGCTTGAGATTTTCTCAAGAAAGGAGCGTTTTGGCGAGCTCTAGGAGGGGTCAGTAGCGCTTGAGATTTTCTCAAGAAAGGAGCGTTTTGGCGAGCTCTAGGAGGGATCAGTTGTGCTTGAGATTTGCTCGAGAAAGGAGCGTTTTAGTGAGCTCTCTGAGTTGGCACCATCGAGTACAACATGGAATGCATTTCCTGAAAACCTGTTACGTGACAACATAGTGCAAACCTACTTAGTTTTGATCAAGACCACGCTCCAAAGCAATACGACGAATTCGAGCCTCCTCCTCCTCCCGACGTGCACGAGATAGCTCAATCTCAATTCTTGCAAATTCCATCTGTTGAGTCATCCTCTCCTGCTGGTGCTGATGATCTTGGTCAGATAGAAGCATCGCATGCTCCCGCTCATCACGAGCACTGCGGGCCTTGAGATCACGAGCCCAAATTTCGGTCTCAAGTTTCATGCGTTTATAGCGTTCGTGCTCCACACGATCCTCACGTTTGCTGTTAAGGTGCGTCATTATGGAATCTGCCGTCTGAGACATCCTATCTGCAGCAGCAGAGGTCTGATCGAGAGTGCTGCCACCAGGGCGTTTGCGTGATGAAGAGGGGGGGCGACTAGATTGAGGTGAAGCACTCTGAGTAGGTGCACGTGCACGAGACTGCTTTGTAGAAAGAGAGGGTGAACTTGCGCGACTTCCTTTGAGTGAGCTGACGCGAAGAGACTGCAGCGCTCGGCTAGCACCAATGTCCGAATCTTCCGAGTCAATGGGTGTGGATTGAGGGCTAGCTGATGACTCCTTGAAATCAGAAAAGAAAGGTGAATTGTGGGTGGTGCTTTGATTGGGTACTGGTGAGCGCTCAGGAGAGTTCAGCGATATCACGCCGTGTGTGTTGGAAGTTGTGATGGGAGGAGGTTGGGGTCATTGGTACCAGTGTGGTAATGGAGCGAGTGAGAATGAGTTGGGCGTGTCGCTAGGACCATGGTCCGAAAATAACAGTGGGGATGGTGCTGACAACGGTGATTCGAATGACTCCATGGAGGGGGGCTGGTCAACCATCATATCATCTGGTGCATCTATAATGCCAGCATCACCTGTAGTATGAGCGCTGATCTCAACTATTTCTCCGTCCTCGGCATCCTCATCTGTGTGAGTGTCATCGTCGCCTGCGGCCGGTGCTTGTGGTTGCTTTGAGATAGCGAAATGTTCTAATGCAGCGGACGCAAAATCTTGCCCTGTATCCGCTGTAGAGAAGGCGTAATTGAAAGCTGGGTTTGTGCGCCACCAGCCATGAAGCTCAGGCCACCAGGGAAATTTTTTGAGCTTTGTATCTAACAGAGATACGATTAAGACATGTGCAGTTCAACAGCGGCTAAAACTTACCAATCAACGACTTCATCGTTGGATCCTCTTGCAGCTCTGCATATGTCTTTCCGGCTCCTGACTGCTTGAGCTCCTTGTTGAACTCGTTATATTTTTTCTTGAGCCTAAAACATCTGATCAGTGATTCTAGTGGGAGGAGAAACAATGCAGGAACGGGATACATACGTGCCGAAACGAGTTGAAACTGGTTTGATAAATGCCTTTGGGTCCTCCTTGAAAAGTCGTTGGACCTCCGGATCCTCGTCATTCGAAAATACGGCTTGTGCGACCTGTGAATAAAAGGTATCTCTCGAAGTTCCGCTCTGTTTCTTCTTCCGACCTTGCTCCTTCGCATCCTTTGCAGAATCGGAGAACAGCTTGATCCGTGCATCTTCGTTTTCCTTGCACCAGGCAAGGAGACGTTCCGTACGAGCGCTACGAACCCCCTCCCAATGAATAGTGCATTTCTTCCCAGTGTCCGTACTGGCGGACACACCGGCTCGAACTCCACCACCTCGACCTCTCTGTCCAGAGCGTGACATGATTCAGGGCGTTTATTATGACAACGATTGGTGATCGGATTGAATCTTTGGCACCATCGACGCCAGTAATGACGATGTCGAGTGACAGGGCAGGGCGGAGTTTGAACATGCCGTACCGGCAACGCAAAATCTTGCTGTGAATTTTTTTCTACGTTCGACTTTGAGAACCGTTAATGTGACCGTGGCCATTATAGCCTTTTGGAATCCGAGTAGTCCGTCGCGACAGTCCGCCAGGCGCCTTACATTGATCTCCACGCTCGCGCACCTTAGCACACCAAGAGTACTAGGCATGACTGAATACCTGACACGTAGACCTAGAGAAGAGTGCCAGTCACAAGCACGTTTCTACAGTGTTCAACTCAATCATTGAGGTTCCAAATATTCACATTTCGCTGTGGTCACTGCTGGCAACAATTCTGCCTAATCTGAAACATCGACGGTCATCTCGACTCCCCCTTTTCTCCCTGACTGATTCTATCTCCACATTACTAGAGGACTATGGGAAAGATCTTGGTGACCCTTCCCCAAATTCTGCTAAGAGTTTGCGAGAGTTGGAGACAAACTTCATTGACTCGCACCAAAGATGATTCTGGAAAAATTTCAATGACTCGGTCATACCGTAACTGTCTAACGGAAGAGATGTTCTCCGCAGTAGACTTCTTGGCCACTTTACCTGCTTATCACGTCTATGTTAATTGTCCTCACAAGTACTCGAGCTATCTTTCTACTGAAGTTACTGATAAGGTTCTTAGTTCGCGCAGGAACTATCATTGTACAAATCCTCCCTAATACATCGATGGTGCGCACAGTGCTCGATTCTGACGCTCCAGTAGTCGGGTGCTCTGTTCATGTCGTTCTGAATGTTCAAAGATAAGGCGTCAGGAATTGACAAACCTCTACCCGATCCAGCCAGCTTTCAATTGATTATATTTCAGCAATTCCCGCAAGGCCGCGATATCTGACTGACTGCTCCACATAATTGGACTCTGTCTGTGCACCTGCAGTGGGTATTTAAATACCACTCCTACCACACGATGGAACACCAGGTCATTTCTAATCTCTCGCTGCTCTGTGATCTACTTCAACAATGAACACTGTCGAATACCACTATCCCGTGATTGGCCGCAAGGGCACTGGAGGCGTATTTGATCGATTGCCTATCGAGACGCTGGAGAAGGACCATCCTTACCAATTTGCATTGTTCATCCTTGCCTTTGCCGCAATTCAGCAGCGTCCCGACGCTCTCCAAGTCATGGAAGAGCCTGCGGGCACGTTCATGGAAATTGCGTCGATTCACGGAAGGCCTTTCATTGAATGGGCAGGTGACCGCAACAATGACACCTCAACTGACTACAGCGCCACTGACAAGAAAGATACCGATCCCGTCCCTGCCAGATTCAGAGGTATTTGGTCCTTTCCCTCGCAGCTTTCCGTAGCCTGACAATGCTGCTTGTGACAGGTTATTGCAAGTAAGCTAGTATGCACTCTTTCGCTCTGTCGATTTTGAGACCTTTATTCAGCCATGGTGCCGTTGTTTTTCCTACTTGGCACCGTCCATATGTCATGCTTATTGAGGTATACGAACCCAATGACTATGACTGGCATGTTGCTCAATTGCTTTGTAGCAATCCATCGGAAACATTGCCGACCAATTGGCCCACGACATCGAAGCTAAAAACCCACATGAATGTGGAGTGTGGGTTAAGGCTGCCAAGGAACTGCGTTTTCCGTACGCATCAAGTCATTTCCGACACTTATTTAGATGATCATATTTCGCACAGATACTGGGGTTGGGCCGAGAAGGATGTTTCTGAGAATGGCCTTCCTCCTGTTCTGTATGAAGATAAAGTGGAAATCATGGCCGCTGGAGGTCAAAAACAAATCATTGACAATCCTCTCTCGTTTTTCTCGTTCGTCGATGAGATCCCATCGGACTTCGGTGATGAGACGCTCAGGGTATGCTGTTTTTACTTTTTCATAACGCAGAACTTGCTCAAATGTGGTTGGTAGACGGGACAAGTGGCATACTTCTCCAAGTGGCACAGGACATACCGCTATGCTGTTAGTACTGCGAATCCAGAAGGTAGTAACGTAGACCAGTTGCAAAAGCAAGTATTGATCGAGACATGTTACGCGAGGCAGGAACTGATTTAGACTTTATAAGGGCGTTCAAAGCCGGGGCAAAGGATCTCAGAAACAAAGTCGCTCAGCTCTTTGTAGTAAATGATAACGAAGATTCTGCATTAGCGTATGTCTTAGCTCCTGCTAGTCTTTTGCACCGACTGACATCTTGATAGCTGGGATGAATTTTCCAATCATACGATGCAATTGAAGAGAGAAATGGATAATTACAATTTCGGGTCACTTGAAGGAGTCCACGATGCTGTTCATACATTGGGTGTAGGCGACATCCATTTGTTTCAATCTTTGAAATATGCTTACTGCAGCAATGACTTAGGGTGGAACTGGACACATGGTTAGTTGTAAATACTTGCGTGCAAACGATACTGTTGATCTTCATTAGACACTTGCAGAGCGCCCCAGACTACGTGAGTAACTCCTCTGACTCACCACAATGATGCTGACCTCTCTTCAAATAGGCCGCCTTCGATCCTTTGTTCTTCCGTACGTGATTAGGTGCAAGCTACTTACATGCATCACTTACATGGATTTATTCCTCTCCAGTTCACCATTCGAATGTGGACAGACTGTATGTGCGATTTGGTTTAAGGAGATTTTCTCGTGACTGAATCCCCCAAGTGGCTCTATGGGAGTGGTGCTACACCGAGTACTGGATGGAAAGCGGGTATGAAATCAAAGGGCAATCATACCCTTGGACACAGGTATTGGGTTGGACGATGTTCCGACGCAAGTACTCAGTCGTTGTCTTTTAGCAACTCGGTACATATGCGCAAGTTTACAATGCACAGCTCCTTCCAGACGGGCCACTCCAACCATTCCGAACGGAACAAGGAGACTACTGGACCTCTTCTCAAGCTCGATTTTTGCATGCAGACGCCTACCCCAAGTGTACATAGCAATCTTGTTTATGGGATGACACAAGCTTACCTGAGTCAGATTATTCGTATCCCGAGTTGGCAGGCGTTAAAGTTAATCAAGCTCCCATGTCATCCGACGAGCGTGCTTTGGCACGTAAGAAAATTGCGGCCTACTACAGGTTTGATCCACAGACCACAGCGCAACAGGTGGCGGCACCCGCTTGGACGCAACTTCCTGTTCCAGACAACAACCATCCTGCCGTGCCAGCCGACCACGCTGTTATTCCTGAATATCGCACATTTGCTGTGCATGTGAAACTTCTGGAGCATGCTTTCAATGGCTCCTACTCATTCCAGCTCTACCATAAAGGAAATGATAATTCGCAGCTCATAGGTACTGTCGCAGTCTTTGCACGGCCAGACCATTCCCCCTGTAAAGCGTGTACTCTGCGTCGTGAGGCAGGGACTGTGATTCACGGCGTTATCCCCATTCCTCCCGCATTGATCGAGAGTATCATGAAATCAAACGCCGACGGCGAAACGGTGGCTACATTCGATCAGACACTCACTCTGTCATATCCCATATATTCACGCTTCTCTTCCGGACTTCGGACCCTGAGATCCGGTCCGGTCCGATGTATAGATCCGCTTCCGATCCGATTTACGATAAGCTTTCTAATTCATTTCCTGTTTCATATAACGTTAAACACAGCCTATTCGGTATTTCCTCTTCCCGGTGTTTCGGTTATGCTTATTACCGGTATGATTACTGATCCGTTAACCTATGTCTCATTTCCGACTCGCGTTTGATAACCTTTGCACATGCTTCGTACATAGCCTCGGACCCTTGCTTACTGATACTTCCGTTATCCTCATAGTATATAAACTCGTGTATATGTCCTGTAGTACCTCAGTTCGAATATCATCTTAGTTTGTCCTCTTTCTGTCCTCCGGACTTGAGTTCTCCTTACTCTTGTCACTCTCCGAGACTTCGGATAGATTCCGATAGTCTATATCCTCGGCTCTACCTTCGGGTAGTCTTTACTCTGTTAGTTTCTAGTTCGGATACGTCCGGATTAGCCTTATACGCGTTTCCGATATCCGGAAGACTTCCGGATATACTACGAGACCCGTCCGGACCTTCGGACGCGTTATCGTTAGTACTTTGAAATAAGGGACAGTACTTGGGAAAGGGGCACAGCGTACGAGCTGAGGCCGAAGTCCTTCGGATCCGATCTTACGAGAGTACGACCTTAACAGTATATTCGAACTCACACCTTTCCAAGTACACTTACTCATATCATGGCTCCTACTAAAGTAAACCAAGCCGCTTTGCACGCTGTCGGACTTTCGTCCACCCGACGCGATCCGACATCCGTAGTTAACGCCTTCACCAGTTTCTCTCAGCGCCGTGTATCACGCGGTCCTGCTCAAAGTATTTCGCAACTCATGAATCGTCCGCATCCGGAAACCCCTACGCGCACTCCTGCCGGAGGTGATCCGGATGACGAAGGACCTCCGGACGATGAAGATACTCCTGGTGGAAACCCTCCGGATGACTTCGGAGGTGATCCGGATGATGAACCGGATGACAACGATGATGAATTTGACGGGTTAAACCCACAAGACCGTGTCATGCTTCGGCTTTCTCAAGCCATCGACAATCTCGCACGCAACAATCGTCGTCCGACCTCGTCCGAAGATTCTAAAGTCAAGATCCGTGAGCCCGATACTTTCGATGGCACTGAGCCTCGGAAGCTTCGTGCATTCTTCGTCCAATGCGAGCTCCACTTCCAAAGCAAACCCAAAGCCTTCCGTTCCGGACGGGCAAAAGTCAACTTCGCCCAATCCTACCTTAAGGGTATGGCACTCGAGTGGTTCGAACCGGATCTCCTAGCCGACGAGGACGATGATCGTCCGGATTGGATGGATGATTACTCCGCGTTCATGCTTGAACTCCAAACCAATTTCGGACCGCACGATCCGTCCGGAGATGCGGAAATGCAATTGGAGCAACTTCATATGCGTGACGGACAACGCATTAATAAATATGTTGTTGAATTTCAGCGTCTTGCTTCACAAGTCCGTGGCTGGGGTGACGGTGCCCTAAGACGCCAATTCTATAACGGACTTCCGGCTCGTATCAAAGACGAAATCAGTCGCATGGGTAAACCTTCCACCCTTTCCGAATACAAGATCCTTGCCCAGACTATCGACGCTCGATACTGGGAACGGAAGGGAGAAGTCGCCCGCGAAACTAAACCCACCACCTCCATTCCTCCTAAGCAAACCACGTCCGATCGGACGAATTCCAACTCGTCCGGACCTTCGAGGTACAAATCCGACAAACCCGCTACTTCCGCATCATCCTCCGTTTCTAAACCTCCGGACCTTACCTCCAAGTTAGGAAAGGACGGGAAGCTCACGTCCGAAGAACGTAAGAGACGGATGGATAACAAACTCTGTCTATTCTGCGGTGGACCCGGCCATTCGGCTCGGGAATGCACCAAGTCTACTTCGCGCGCTGCCAAAGGCCGCGCTGCAGTAGTAACTCCGGAAGACAAACCGGAGGCTTCGGATGAAGCAAAAAAATAGTCCGCAACCCTCCCGACTCCGCACGGGATGAGGGTTGCGTTGACTCTACCCGTGCAACGGAGCTACGTCTCAATGCTGTTTCTCTTTCCGATCCGAACTCTCTTTGTCCATACGTTTCTATTCCTACTTTTCCTGATATTTCTGATTTTCCTTCACTAATTGATTGTGGTTCCTCTCACTGTTTTATAGACTCTGATTTCGTCCGAAAAAATAAAATTTCTACATATCCGATATCTCCGCTTTCTCTCCGTTTGTTTGATGGTACTTGTAATAATATGATTTCCGAAGCTATAGATTTGCCTATCTGTTTTCCGTCCGGTGTAGTTACCTCCGATACGTTTTACGTTACTCCGTTGGATTCTTCTTGTTTTATCGTTCTTGGATATAGCTGGCTCACCCTACACAATCCGTTGATTGACTGGGTTTCGGGCAGCATCGATTTCCGAACGACTTCTCATGGAATGCCTTCGACACCTCCGACGTCGCTTCCGTCTCCGGATCCGCATCCTCCGATGGAAGATTTACCTCCTCCGACTACATCCGGAACCTCCGCTGATAAAACCATCCCCAACATTTCCTTGATCAATGCGGTTGCCTTTTGCCGGGCCTGCAAATTGGAAGGATCGGAACAGTTCAGCATCTACCTTCGTCCGACCGGTGTAGACCTCCGGTCCGCTTCCCTTTCATCCGATCCTCCGGACCTGTCCGGAATTCCTCCGGAATATCACGAATTCTCGGATGTGTTCGATAAGGGCAAAGCTAGCCAACTTCCTCCTCATCGTCCCTATGATCTCAAAATCGAGTTAGAGGAAGGAACTAGTCCGCCCCTCGGAACCATTTATTCTCTATCTGCAGTTGAGCTTGCAGCCCTCCGGAAGTTTCTTGATGAAAATATTTCCTCCGGACTCCTCCGTTCATCATCCTCTTCTCACGGAGCTCCTGTCCTGTTTGTCAAGAAAAAGGATGGCTCCCTTCGCCTCTGTGTAGATTTCCGTGGACTTAACCAGATTACCAAGAAAGACCGATATCCGTTACCTCTCATTACCGACCTCCTAGACTCTCCGAGCCGCGCTAAAGTCTATACCAAAATCGACCTCCGATCCGCTTATCATCTCGTCCGGATAGCGGACGGAGACGAATGGAAGACCGCGTTCCGAACGCGTTATGGCTCATATGAATGGTTGGTAATGCCGGAAGGTCTCACTAACGCTCCGGCTGCATTCCAACGCTTTGTCAATAGCGTGTTTGCTGATATGCTGGATGTATGCGTTATCGTATATCTGGACGACATCCTCATCTATTCCCAAGACCTTGCATCCCATAAGGAACATGTCCGAGAAGTCCTTCTCCGTCTCCGAAAACATCGACTCTATGCTAAACCCGAAAAATGCGCGTTCCATACCACATCCGTTGAATACCTTGGTTACATCCTATCTCCGGACGGCTTGACCATGTCGTCCGAGAAGATCCAGTCCATCGTTGACTGGCCGGAACCTCGGAAAGTTAAGGATATTCAATCCTTCCTCGGATTCGCAAATTTCTATCGTCGATTCATTTTCAATTACTCGGACATCGTAGTTCCGCTCACCCGTCTTACCCGCAAGGGGGTTACTTGGGATTTTTCCGATGATTGTCGGAAGTCTTTTGAAACACTCAAGAAAGCTTTCACGTCCGCTCCGGTGCTTACGCACTGGATTCCGAATGTTCCGATAGTCGTAGAAACCGACGCCTCTGACTACGCTATAGCCGGAATACTTTCCATAGTATGTCCGGACTCAGAGCTTCGTCCGGTGGCATTTTATTCTCGGACGCTTACCGCTCCGGAACTCAACTACGACACTCACGATAAGGAACTTCTAGCCATCCATGAAGCTTTTCGGACGTGGCGACATTACCTTGAAGGCTCTGCCGAGCCGATAGACGTTGTCACGGACCATAAGAACCTTGAGTATTTCTCTACCACAAAACTCCTCTCTCGCCGTCAGGCCCGCTGGTCGGAATTCCTCCATCAGTTTAACCTAGTCATCCGTTTCCGTCCCGGAAAACTCGGAGCTAAACCGGATTCCCTTACTAGACGCTGGGACGTCTATCCCAAAGAGGGGGATAAGGACTACGCTCGAGTTAACCCTCACAATTTCCGTCCGGTATTCACTTCGGAACAGTTAGCTTCGTCCCTCCGAGCCTCAACTCTAGTAACTCCGGTTCTTAGGGCAGCCGTTCTGATTGATATCGACCAGCTCCGGAAAGACATCCTGACCGCACTTCCTAATGACCCTATCGCATCCGAACATCTTCCGGAACCTTCGGATCCGAGATGGACGGTGGACGATAGTGGTTTCCTCCGCTGCGACAACCGTATATATGTTCCGGAATCTAATAATCTCCGTCTTCGCGTCCTCCAGAATACTCATGATCATCCGTTGTCCGGACACTTCGGACAGAACCGGACGCTAGATATCATCCGACGCGAGTACACTTGGCCAGGAATCCGTACCTATGTCAAAGACTACGTCAAGTCTTGTACTTCCTGCGGCCGAGCTAAGGTTCCGAGACACAAACCTTACGGATTGCTCAAGCAGTTACCCATACCGGAAAAGCCTTGGAATTCTATATCCATGGATTTCATCGAGCACCTTCCGGACTCATCCGGCTTTACAGCCATCCTCGTCGTAATCGACCGTCTATCCAAACAAGCTATATTCATCCCTACCCACGACACCATTACCTCTCCGGATCTCGCTCGTCTATTCGTCCTCCACGTGTTTTCCAAGCACGGAGTTCCATCCCATGTCACTTCGGACCGAGGAACAGAATTCGTATCGCATTTCTTCCGGTCCTTAGGAAAAGCATTAGATATGGTCCTCCACTTCACGTCCGGATATCATCCGGAAGGAGACGGACAAACCGAACGAGCGAACCAAACCCTTGAACAATACCTCCGGATATACTGCAACTATCAGCAGGATAACTGGTCGGAACTACTTCCCTTGGCAGAATTCGCTTATAACAACGCTCCGAGTGCTACTACCGGAGTATCACCCTTCTTCGCCAATAAGGGATATCATCCGAACCTATCCGTTCATCCGGAACGTGACCTCTCATCCGCCCGCGCACGAGACTATGCAGTAGACCTTGACGAACTCCATCAGTTCCTCCGAGAAGAAATGGCCCACGCACAAGAAAGATATCAAGGACCTGCGGACGCCAAACGGAAA